AAACAAGTTTTGAATAAACTCTGAAATGGCTGCACAAGAGTTCTTACTTAAGCCTGTAGGAATACACTAGGTATAAGGTGATGTCCGTAAACTATATTCAGATTTCACTCACATAGTAATTATCGTACATTTAATTAAAAGTCTACAATCATTTTCGGTAAATTAAAAAAGCCTAAAAATATCATAAAAGATCTAAGGTGTTAGTCGCATTTAATTATAAAACTGACAACAAGCAAACGCTTACTTATTTCACAAAATGTCATTAATGCAAACCAAAAAAAAATTAAGTTCTGGTCATTGATTAAAAATACAAAAGGTTCTCTTCAGTTGTGACTATAGTGATGTGTACGTATTTTTAACCATATTAAGTTTGAAAAAATGATGTGGTTTATTTTCATAAATGATTTTTTATTTTAAAAAAATTAAAAAGTTTATCTATAGCCTTTCTTTACCTATTTTATTAGATATTCATATAATGCATCCAATTACAGCAAACTTTCAAATCAAAATCATCTATAGCTAATTCGGATATAAATATTTTTTTATTAATTTTCTTTGAAAAAAATGCAAAAAAAAAATTCATATAAAATAATTAAGAGCTTATATTGGTCTTTCAAATTGAAGCCATTGTTTAAAAAGGATGACTCATAGATCTATAAAATAAAAAGTTGGCATTCCTCCTTAATTACTGATTACTCTCAATAAAGGGCAATAACTCTAGTTGATCTATATTTTGTATACACAATAGAGAGAAACAAAAATTCAAAGATGTTCAAAAGGCAATGACAACAAAATGAATATAACATATATACACAATAAAATTAAATACAGTGAGTGAAATGAAAATTAAATATGAGCTTATAAAAGTTATTAAATGATAAAATAGTGACAGTCTTATTCAAATCTACTCCCTTAGTGAGTATGCAAGTATTATGGAAGATAGTCTCTACTCAGTACCAGTATACATGTACTTTGATATTCACTGCAAATATAAACTACGACAGACAGACAGACAGACATGTACCGGTAATCTATAGCTACCCTTACTGTTGTCACACACCTACTATATTTCACTTGATCAACATATATATGCAAACATATATATTAATAGTCCTATCATATACATGTGAATGTACATGTGACTTAAGAAGGGCAAGGGGTGGGGTGGGGGGACATTACCTGTACCTATTATGTACATTCTCCCACAGCTGCCACAGCTCTGTCAACATCTGTTCAGTCCAGTCAACAGTAATGTCAAATGATATACATATGTATCATGCAGTGCAGTGCAAAGGTATTCGTATAAGAATCTGAATTTTATAACTGATCAATTACCAGTGCAATAAGGACAGGGCACAAATGATTGGTTTTCAATTTACATGTACGACTATGTAGAGTAGATAATAATACAAAACAGACAGATGGACGAACGTACAAACAGACATCTGAATCGCTATTAGCTAAATATACCCTCCCATTTTTCAAGCAGGGGGTATAAAATTCTTAACTACATACTGGTTTAAGTTAAACAAGTGCTGTATAGTAGACTTTCTTACCAATCGCTGATGGAATAATTCCGATTGAATCACCACAGAGTCAATGCACACAGAAGTCAAAATATAAAATCACAGTTCACAGTGTTGATCACTTTTGTACTATTTGTCTAAGGCTAAAGTCAACCAGCACAAAATCCTCACTGTTGACAGTTAAAACAGTCGCTCTCACAAGGAGGAAGGTAGATGTTGACCATCATTTATCAGCTAACTGCTTTATCCTGTATTAAGGCACCATCCATCATCAGCAACCAACTAGAGCACCAAATGTAGTATAGGTCTTATGTGAAGAATACAACACACGCATAATTATGGATCCATTATTCTTTTAAAATTGCAGTGTTGATGGATTCAGATGTAGTGGTCACAATAGCCCTATAATAAGAATAAACAATATTAAGCATGTTTGTGAAACAACTGATGCTCCCACATGGTAAATAATGGTAAGGGTTGATATTTCTCAGATGCAAGCTAAACTCCAAAGGTCAAGGTCAAAAGATTACAATTGTTGATATCCAAAAAGGTCTTGTCAATATACTAGTATATAAGAATACACCTGTAAAATATGAAAGCCCTAAGTACTAACTGTTCAAAAGTTATAACCAAGCTAGGTTAATGTTTTCAAAACTCAGGGTCAAACTCTTAGGTCAAAGTCAAAAATTATCTACACCCATTGAAGAATTAGTCAAATATTAATACACATGTTACCCTTAGAGCCCCAACTCAGGACTGGATATTCCTTACATCCTGGTCTTATAAAAGCTAAAAGAACCCTGTCCCAATTGAACAATAACTCTTTTTCCCAAAATTTCAGCAAAAAAACACCACATTTATAGGCAAATTGAAATGTTCTGTGCTTTTTATCATTTTATCATACCAAAAACTTGAATTTTAAGAATTTCAGGATTTTATATTTAATATATAAAATAGGGAACAAGCCTTCAAAGTATTGCTTGTTTTAACATAAAACTTAATAAGTAACTTTTTTACTTATTTTTCTTTTAATAAAAAAAAATATACCCTTACCATATAATAAATATTATTTGTTATAATTTTATTATTTATTATATTTATTATAAGGTAAGGGTATATATTTTTTATTAAAAGAAAAATAAGTAACGTCAGGTGCCTGTGCTGAGAACCTGTATATCCTTTTGCCAAATTTACGAACTTTGAAAAAAAAATTTCAAAGTGCGTTAAATCTAGGACCAAGTCAACGCACTTTGAAAAAATAAAATTTCTTTTCAAAGCGCGTTAATATCGACCATATAAATTAACGCAATTTGAACAAATGTGTATGTAAATCATAGGTATGATGAATAATTGAACCCGTTTGATAACTCTTCGGTGATAAGGTCACTTCAGGATGTGAGAATGAGCGATTTTGATTTCTACATACTTTGAAAATTCTTTCTCTCTCAAATGTTTTACTGTACTTAATTTTTTCCAATTTGCATGCATTTTATGTCAACTAAAATTTATTGAAAGTTTTCAACATCATACCAGTTAGACAAATACATATATTTGGGTGTAGTGTAGGCATCGGTAGGGGGACTTAGGAACACAAATGTTTAGCAAAGATGTGCATAATATGAAATTGAAAATTGAGGCTTACCTTGGGAGGTGTATAATATTAATGGGGAGAGGTGTCCATTACAAAGTGATTCTCTCAATTACTAAAATCTAAAGTCTAGTATTTTTTATTTTATACATATTATTTTCAATTAGTGCATTAAATGTCCCCATGGTAAAAATGTTTATGTACACTCTTAACACACTTTGAAAAAAAATTTCGAAGTGCGTTGAGTGTGTCCCAAATTTAACGCACTTTGAAAACGCAATTTGAAAAGAAGTAACTTGATAACATATTAAACTTGAATCGCCATTGCGTTGAACAACTGTACGCACGCAATGTCGAGCATCCTCTGAAGCCCTAAATTGGAGACAGCTTATATGCGAGAGATGTCGTCAGCGAGAGTTGGATTTGGACTAGCAATACTGAACATCCCGTTGTTGTTGCCTTTCCTTTGGTGTACATTAAGTAGATTACTGTTGAACACTATGTACAAGTAGAGAGAGCTCCTCCCTGCCTCACACCTTTGGAAACAGAAACCATGCATTCAGAGTTCGTTTGATTAACAGCAAAAGAGCAGGAAGTTCCGGTGTGACCGTCATCAATGAGAGAGCACAAGAGGCCGAATATACCCAACTGGTATTATTTGTTCATGAGGCCAGCGTCAAACGCCCTATGTGTGTACGTTAGCCTGTCACATGCATGCTCCCCAGAGTCAAGGTTGGGAAAGGTTTTACTAGTATTAAAGATTAACTTTCGAGTGCAGTTATGCAGGATTTGAAGGTTGTCTTCAATGCAATCCAATTTGTTTAACGGTGTTCTTCCTGCACATGCTTTTTTAAAATTTTGCAGCATCCTGGGGCCGTATTTGAATCTGACAATATACACAGTCTCATACAGCTCGTTTGACAATTGCATTCTTGCAAAGCAACAGCAATTAACCTGTTTCTGTCATAGTAATTTATATTGCCAGATTTAAATCCAATTGAGCAAGCGTTGGACAAATTCATCAATGGATTGTCATGATCTGCCAAAGACAATCGCATCCCCAGACTCTGCAACAGCTCACCAAAGCTCTACATTTGAAGTGGGAGAGTATCCCTATACCAGTTTTTATGACCCACATTTACTTCCATGAAATCCCGTTTAAGGCTAATGTTTTTGTTTGTGGGGGCATACCAAATTTTGATCTTTAATGACCTTTTATAAATACATCATATTTTACTTAATAATCTACTGGTATATTACAAACTTATTTTCTTTACAAAGTAAGCAGATTAGGAGAGGATCAATTGATTGGGGGAGGTGGAAAGAATAAAAAAATGTATCTTCGAAAATGCTGAAAATAAACAATTTGTTCTGTCCTCGACTGGCAAGAAAAATGGTCCTTGACGAGTGCTTGGTTCTCCCATTTCTACCCCGCACAAACACGCGCGTGCGCGAAATATATTCTTGAACTGAGTTTGGAGAAGACATTACTGATAAACCCTGGTTATAACATTATCATATGGGCATGTTTCTACTTTATCATTTGCTTTGAATTTCCGCGATAACTCCTTTGCAGAACACATGCAGGTGCTTGGGGACAGGACCCATCCCCACCTACCCCCCGTGTTCTGTACATACCCCAAGGGTTCTATATGCCTTTTATATATTTTTAGCTTTGGAGTTGTACTACTTTATAAATGTGTCATAGAAAAATATTTTATAAAACAAAAAATTAAGTCAGAGAACAATTTGGGTACGGGACATCAGGGGAATGTCCCGTCCTCAAGCACATGTGCTCCCGACTTGTTTTTGCTCACTGCGACTTTGTAGTTCAAAGAAAACGTTAGAGTTATCCCGCTTTGTTTTGTAGCCAATAGTATCCGGATTTTGGAATTTAGTACGCACCTCTTGTTGACACTTTGGTTTAAACCAATCGTATTAGGAATTCGTGTACACACCTCCAAATATTGTTGACATTGGAGTCGTACGAATGATAATACAGAGTGTAGTGGAATTATCAAGTAAATTCAGTCATATCCGCGTTTGGGAGATTTCAACGTTGTGAAGACTAAACGTCGAATTTTTATCGATCCAGATCTCCTTAAATTGTACAGCAGTTTTGTTTGTCTCATAGCCTAATGTATAAATTCTTTCGCCATTTAAAAAGATTTAACAGAGGATTAACTTTAACAGGGACTAAAGTTGACAGGTTATTCCATTCAGTTTCATCAACATGTTCGAATCCAACATTACAAATATGCAGCCGAATTTCCTCGCATCCCACTCCAGTATACAGGAAACTTCACGCTCGCCTCATCAGCAGCATGATACACGAGGCCTTGCATATAGAATAGTAAGTCTCTCTCTCTCTCTCTCTCTCTCTCTCTCTCTCTCTCTCTCTCTCTCTCTCTCATCTTCCTCTAGCTAAGCACATTCACACATTCAGTTTTAATAAGTTTCTGTGTTTGACCCAAATGCAGTGTTAAATTATTGGTCTAAGTGTTGGCTCTATGTGCCTCTAAACAATTTATGCATATAATGAATTGATACTAAAATTGATAAAATTAATGTAAATTCCATACTAGGATCAGTTGTCAAGGAGGAGTAAGCATCCCCTGTTGGCCACAGTAGCACCTCTGTGAGCCCTATATGATACTGGCTATGTATAAAGCCTATTGATCAGGTAGATCACAGGCACCTGGCATTACTTATTTTTCTTTTAATAAAAAAAATATACCCCTACCTAATTATAGGGGTATATTTTTTATTAAAAGAAAAATAAGTAATGTCAGGTGCCTGTGCTTGGGATAATTTCTTTCTTTTTTTTCAAGCTAATCTGCATAGATTGTTCATCATCAATATTGCAGATGATACACAGATTAGAAAAGTCCTAACAGTAATTACCTTAAAAATTATATCCATGGACATTTTAGCAATTTTTTTTCATATGTAATTTCAATTCTTTTTTTTTTTATATATATAAAGAATCATTGTAAAATTATCAAATCTGATGCCTTCATGGAGACCTAAATGGAATGAGAAATATATCAAACTCTGTCAGACACCTCAGCTGATATTTATTCAGGAAGGTACACAAGAAGATGGTAGAATTTATGGAATATGTAAACCAGACCCTGTTTTTCATGTTCTTTGAGAAGTTCTTTGAAAAACTAAAAAAGTTTGTTTTCAGTCTGAGAGTTATTCCAGGACCAAATTTTAAAATCCTATTTCTACCTCCAATTTGCTGAAGAGGAGACTGTTTATTGTATATCTATTTTACTAATATAGCAGAACTTGCTTAGTTATCAGATATAACAAACTCATGGATATAGCGAAATTAATTATATCCCCAGCTATATAAATTTAATGAATTCCTTATACAGATATAACAAATTATGGATATAGCAAAGTAATTTTATTGGACCCCGAGACTTCGTTATAACCGAGTTTTACTGTACTTAGTTTACTGCTAAATGTCAGAATTGTATTTCAAATTCTTCTAAAATGTCTCGGAAATCTTCCACTAAAATGACCAGAAATTTTGCATTAATTTATTGTCCAGATTTTGCTTTTAAAATGCCCTGTCTGAGTCTGCAAATATTGCTTTTACGGGGGATTCCCCTTCCACATAGACAAAGTTCTACACATAACTTAAAATTACATGTTTGTTTCTGAAACCTCTAAATATATGTGCATCATCTTGACACATCAGGTAAACAAATATCTACATGACATATGTTTTATGCAGGTGTTAAAAAATGTTTGTATTTTAAATAATGACAGGGCTTGCCTTTTTTGTAATAATGTGCATCACTGGATTAAGTTATATATGGGGTCAGAAGACAGTCTCATTTGCAATATATCAACTTAAATAATCAACTTATTATCTAATTATTTTGGAAAAATTAATCATTGACAACATTTTTATAAGTAAATGACCTGCTGGGATTATAATTAATACAGTAAAACTTGACTAATCCAGACCTGACTTGTATGTTGCAAGGAAATAAGACAACATTCTGGAATATAATCATTATAAGAAGACAATATTTTTTATCTATTGAATTTACTGAAATATCGTACATTAGACAAGATTTCAGAATACACAGCATCCAGTTTAGTCTAGTTTTTACTGTATATATTATTTGTATAATCATCCAGGTATGCTTTGCAAAAACTAGTTTGCAGCATGGAACATTGTCTATAGCTAGTCTATTACCATTGTCTGAAATACCATTCATTATTCCTGCTATTTATATCTTGTCACATCATTTAAGTTCATGAGACCTTTCTAGTGCACCTAGAGAGACTTGTCAATATGAAATGCACTACAGGTGTGAAATTCCTTGCCTAGTTATGATACATGCACCATTTAATGTCAATATTAATGACTATTTAATTTTACCAGCCCCCTCCCCCTTGAAAGACCATCATGAATCCAGAGAGTAGGAAGGGGCTGCAAATTTTTACAGGAATTAAAACGTGAGAAAAATGTTGAAAAAGAACAACAACGTCTTGATTAGTAATATATTTATTTAGAAGCATCCTCAGTTCTGGAGATTAAGAATTTTTAGAATCATCATACCAGAGGTAAGAAAGGAGCCAAAATTGACAAAGTTTTAAAAAGGAATAACTTAAAGGGGGAGAAATATATCAAAAGCTTAATAATTCAAAGAGCAGCATAGCCATGCTTAGTTATATTTACATGGAAGCATTCTCATGTGATATTTGATTCAAGTTTGTTCAAGTCAGGTCAACACCCCCCCCCCCCCACACACACACACACACAAACACACACTCTAACACACTGGGTAGGGAGGGGACAAATGAGAGATTAAATTTTTACAAAGGAATTAGAAAAAAAAGAATGAAAATCTTTTTCAAGAACATTCTGCAAAACCATGATTAGACTATATATTTATTCAGAAGCATCGTCAGGTAGTGTAGATTCAAGAGTTTGATCAACTTACGTACATTACCCCCTCACTTTCATATTTGAATTAAACTTTTTTGAATGCTACATGTAAACTGGGTTTTTTTCTAGCCCAAGTGTTCAGGTGAGCGATGTGGCCCATTGGCTCAAGGGCCTCTTGTTAGGAAATGACAAAGCTGTTCATTGTAAAGCTTAAACATTAATCCGAAGGTGATAGCAGATACATTGATCTCTTTTTTCTAATTGTGGGTTTTAGTTTGAAGTGGGACAGAATAATTAAGATCGGAGATGTAAGTTCAAGTCGACACAGGCTTTAAACACATATAGGCAGCATGTTTTTAGTGGTAACTGGAAGTTAAATTAAAATCTGATGTTAAAAAGGTTCCGATATCTGTCATTCAATCCTCTATTTCTCTTCCTGTCATTCTATTAGAGAACTCTCTGCCAACTGTAGCAGTATATATATTTTTAAAGCTTCAACATCCAATCTGTAACATAATTTGTGCAATTCAATGTCCACTTTTAATTAAAATTTCATAAAGATAATTTAAAGCCAATCAACAATCAGAATTATCTATAGACCTAATAAGAGTGTCTTTTGTGTGAATTAAGTTGAACATACTGATATGTTTATGAATTACGCATTCGATTTTCTTTCTTTCTTGTTTTTTCTTTTTTTTTTTCTTTTTTTTTTAAAAAGGGGGTGGGGGCTGTCATTGAAATATCTGATTAAAAAAATTTTGAGAGGGCTGCATTATTGCATCTGTAGGTGTACAATGGGATTGAAGTTTGTTTGAATGAAGATCTTGCCATACCTTTTTTTCAAGGGCAAAAAATCTTGAATTAAATTCTACTGAAAAACATATAAGATAAGGTAACTCAGGTGAGCATTGTGGTCCGTGGGTGTCTTATTGTTTACATGTACATTTTTAAATTAACAAATAGGAACACAAGACCTGCAAGCAATAAATCAAACACCTGTATAAATTTTAGATTAAGAATTACAGCAGTTGAATTTATAAATTTAGAAAGTAATTTGAAATCTTGGCATAGAATAGCATTAATTTTCTTCATGGACTCAATTTTTAAACTAATTCAGAGGTAAGTTTTTGGAATTGGTTGATAATGAGTTGTTTTGCAGACCATCTTTTAAAAATGTCTTTGAACATTAATCAATCCAGAAAACAGAATCTTTTATTTTTATAATATGATATATATTTTTACTGGGTATTTTGTCTCTCTGTCTCTCTTATATCATTACTTAGAGTTGTCCCTAAGACTTGGGAACTAGGGAATTTCCTGCCCTATTACGTGTATGATGCTGTTCCCTGATTATTCAGACAACCCCCCCCCCCCTCCCTCAATCTCCTTTTGGGAGTGGATCTCTGGGACCCTTTTCTACTTTTAAAATGTTCCCTGTTATTTTAAATCTAAAAGACAAACCTGCTTGATAATAAATTATTAAAAAATTATGCATACGCCACAATGTTCCTTAATACCTTTTATGTATATTTGAAGTTGAAAGAGGTCATATAGTTTTGCATATCTATTACGTCAAGATGGTGCACATACTGAACTTTTTTTTTATGAATGAATTTACAAAAATAGTAATGAAAGTAATAAATCTTGAATTTGTTCCTCAGTATAAAATACATTTTAAAAAGTTAAACACAGTGTTGAGGATTTTTAAAGAAGTATTTTATACAGATAAGAGACCTACCACAACATAACACATATTGTTGAAATTTTACATCATATAATTACATGACAATATACCGGTATGTCGATATTAAAGAACTATTATGATCTTAATTATATAATGTAGCTTCTGTAAAAATAAATATCATTTCATGTACTTTAAATATATTAGTTTATGTTTTACCAAATGACCTGTATTCATGCATATTTTGTACATGCACATCCTGTTAAACTATCATGCATTTATTTTCCAAGGTAATAATCAAGAACATGATTTAATTCATTCATTAAAAGTACAAATATTTTTAAAAAGTATTGAAATGTCACAATATTCACTCACTGTTATCATTTGATACCCAATGTCATCCTCATTTCCAAAGCAAGAGAGAAAGAATCAGTCATGCAGTAGTGGGTATCCTATCAGCTATGTAGTTATAGTTCTAACATTCCTGAAGTAGAGATGTGTGATGATTTTTTACTCTCTTTCCCTCACAGTTCTGATGCTGAGTGGAATACAGACCAATTTGAAGAGAGACTGTTTGAAATTCTTGCAGATTCAAATGGAAGAGTTTCAGTGGCCAAGTTTAAATCTGTAAGTTTCATAATTATTAAGATATATGAGTATTAGATAGAAAATTGAGTTGACTGAGCTTTATTTAAAGCAAAATAATTTTTTTAACAATATCTTAAGCTCTAAGGTTTTTCTGAAGCTTGGATTTGCAATTGAACTATAACTTCAGATTTTCTTATTTCTAGTCATCACTTGTTAGTTTCTTAGTTGCTTTTCTTGCAACATTTTAAATAAAATGCATTTAGATCTGAATTGGAATCACTGCAAGCTATTTTAGAAATAGGAAAAAAGAGAAATTTATAAAAGAATATTGAATTGAATTTCAAACTTTTTTCAAATCAGTGTATTAATGTAGAGACTTTGTTTTTGGTACAGGTGCTTGCCTTCTCAGGGCTAAAAGACACAGACCCAAGGCTGAAGGAATGCATGAACAATTTTGAAAATGTCCTTTCTCGTTACGACCATGAAAACAAAAGTACGGATCAGTATGGGGGAGTTTCTCTGGATAAAAAGGCATTCAAAGAGTAATTAGCTAATACTTTTATATACTTTCATTTGCTGCAGTTTAATGTTCACAAAGTGACACCATGAAGTTATCACTTCTTAATTAAGCTGTTAATATAACCATTTTTTAACCGTGTTGTAAAGATTGTGTTGACCAGTTTGCTAACTTCCAATTGATAGATTGAGCAAGCTAAGAGGGTACTGGTAATTATGTACTTTGATCTCCCTATCACTACAATATACTACATGTACTATATTACTGTTTTTAACATAATATAAATTTTCTGCGTGCACTACGACATAAGCACACATAATTTAGAATATACACGTATAGAATACTTTTCAAACATCTTGACTTGAACTTCTAAACAAGAAATATCACAATCTGCACATGTACTAATGAACAAAAATATTATGATCATAAACAAAAAGTACTCTCAGACTCATCTATAATGGAGACTATAGAGATTAATTTATACAGTGGCAATACAGCTTTAATTTTATCTGTATTTAATGTAATTTTATTTTAAACACAGATTCTGTTGTAATTAGCTATACCTTGGATTCATTGTAATCGGGTGTTCTTTTTCATGGAATTCTCTCCAACAGACGAATAAGTTCCTTGTCTATTCAATTTTATTTTCAAAGGTTATGGTCTTGCTCTCCTTGTAATGTCTTGTTTCTCCCACATTACATTCTGATTGGGCAATATTGCAAACTACTAAAGGATTATAGCCATAACATTCATTTGCAAATTCTGTTTGATACAATGACCTTGTCAACAAAATCAATCTCTCATGAAGTCAAATGCTGACTTCATTATTATGTACACACTGAAATGTCTAAAGATTTTCTGATTGCCCATTGAGGACAGGGAGCACATGGCAGGTGTGATTGGTCAACTGGGGATGCTTATTCTTTTATGGCACCTGATCCCACCTCTGAGTGTTTGCTCTGCTCCCAGTTTGTATTAGTGGACTTTTGAGTTTGATTATTGTGCATTTTCTCCATATTTATACCATCTCCATATTTTATACCATTGTAGCAAGCCATGGGTTAAATTTTGTGTCCATTACATAATTTCTTTATATAGCACAGAAACTCTCTCCTTGGCCCATTACTGGGTGAAAAAAAATTATTTTAGGTATATAAAATATAGTTTTGCCCTGATAAGCTGAAATAAGACCCCCCCCCCCCCCACCTTGATGCAAAATGTCAGTCATGGTTTAAAAGATAAGTATTTATTCAATCTGAACAAGAAACTATAGGAGCTTTAAAAAAAAATATGTCAGCTGTGAATTTATTGTCTAAATATTTGTCTCCTGTCAAAAATGACTGAATAGGCTAATTACTTCTGCCATAATAATTTTTCATGTGTTGATTCATTTAACCACACTGTCATTTGGCCAAAATTATGTCAAGATTCAGCTAGTTAACAAAACATGGAATAAATGTATACATGTATGGCCCTATAAATGGTAATTCAGTCAGTGTGAAAAGTAGTCTGAATAGAATTTAATTTTACTTTTTAGCTCACCTGGACGGAAAGCTCAAGTGAGCTTTTCTGATCACGACACCTATTGTCCGTCTTCCATCTGCCCGTCTGTCTGTCGTCCGTCTGTAAACTTTTCACATTTCCAACTTCTTCTCAAGAATCAAAGGGCCAATTTTGACCAAACTTGTAACAAAGCATCTTTGGGTGAAGGGAAGTTTAAATTGCTAAAATAAAGGGCCAAGTCCCCTTACAAGGGGAGATCATGAAGAAAAGTCAAAAATAGGGTGGGGTCATTAAAAAATCTTTCTCTGAAGAACCACTGGGTCAAAAAAGCTGAAACTTATGTGAAAGCATCCTGGGCTAGAGTACATTATAATTTTTATCAATTCAGGACCCAAAGGGGTAGGGCAGGGCCACAATAGAGAATCCAAGTTATATATTGAAATATATAGGAAAAAATCTTGGAGAATCTTTTTCTCAACCACTCATCCCGAAAAACTGAAACTTATGTGGAAGCATCCTGGGGTATTGTAGATTCTGAATTGTTCAAATCATTACCCCCAGGGGTAGGGTGGAGTCACAAGAGGTATTACAAAGTAAACGTAGAAAAAACATAAATGAAAATTTAGGCTGACTGGTAGATACTGTAAATCACGTTTTATTCGCGAGAACTTAATTACGCAAGACAAAGAGCTCGTGAAAATTTCATTCTCGCGTTTAAAAGTATTCCTTACGATTAAATAGAAAAAAAACAACAATTCGTGAAAATTATGTCTCGCTAATAAAGAGTCAATAACTATCTCGCGAAAATAAGGTGTCGCGAAAATTTAGTGATCTACAGTACTTTAAATTCTAACAAAATTATGAAATTGAGAACTGCATTTTTAAATTTGGTATATATTTTACAGAATTAATTATAAGAAACTAGTTTAAATTTATACATTCTTGGATTATGATTACATCTTCATATGATTCTTTCTAGATGCATCCAGGATAATATCATTCTCATCAGTAAGGCCATGAAGAATGACTTCATCATTCCAGAATGGCAGGGCTTCAAACAGGAGATAGACAAAATATACAGAAACTGTCGAAACAACACAAATGGAACGGTACAGTACAAACACTTTGTCTGCCTGTCTGTTAGTCTGTCAGCCATCAATGCATTACAGTGTACATGTACATGTAAATCTTATGTTTGTTATAGACTGTTCTGTATAGTGTATATAAAGGGTGCTCTTATTTGCATAGAAAAACAGTTGAAGAGGGCTACATTTTTGAAGCTAGAAGTCAATACTGAATAGATATACAGTGGACCCTCAGATATCCGGATGCTTCAGTATCCGGACGACTTTTCCTCGGAACAGAATTTTTTTATGTTATTTGTTCTTGTTTAACTGGTAATTCAGATATCCGGACGCTTCACATATCCGGACAAATTGACAAGGACCAAAGCGTCCGGATAAATGAGGCTCCACTGTATTTATAATGGAGGTAGTTGCATGTGAACAGGAAACTTGAAACACTTCTTTTTCACTTGCTTGGGGCTACCTGACAACCATATTTTATTATTTATAGGTGGCCTCTTATATTCCACAACTGGCGAGATACAGTCCAGATTTCTGGGGAGTGTCCATTTGTACTGTGGATGGCCAAAGGTAAAGATTTAAAGAAGTTCAAAATCCTCATAAAAAGTTTAATGTTGAATATTAGGCTTAATAATTACTCTTGTAGCCCTTGTTTGGCAGTGAATCTCATCCATTTTATGACCAATTTATAGGCATACATGATCTTGTCAAATTTTTCAGCAAAATTTATTCATATTTTTAATGCCCAGAAACTTTGTGTTTAGGATGAAGTGTCAAAGGATAGTTTTATTTGTTGAACAGGAAAATTTATGGGATGTATAACTGATGACTGGCTGACTTGGTACTATTTACATTGCTGATAAATACCTGTTTCCTTAAAATGGGAATTTACAGGGATTTGATTTATCACAAAAAATGATTTATTACATGTATATGAATTTTCATAAATGCAGTTGCTTGTAAATACTGAATTATACCCCCGGTACTTAAAATAGATTCATTGTCTTTAGGCATTTATCTCATAAAAAAGATTCAGAATCAACATCAGAAATACTTATTGCCTTCCAACTTTCAAATAGAGTGCATTGATAAGGAATCTCCTCAATTATTTTATAGCATGAATAGAACAGATCTTCTTTTCAAACTATTCCATGTGATTCAGAAATTATAACAATATTTTCAGCATTCTTAAAAAAGTTATTAACTAATCTCCTTTACATTTCTGTGGCCATGAAAATTATTATTTTATAATTTATAATTAATTAAAAATTTTTTTAGGTATTCCAATGGGGACACAAGTATCCCCTTTTCTATCCAGTCCTGCAGCAAGCCTCTAACTTACTGTATGGTACAGAGTACTGGTTCTGATGACAACATTGAACGGATTCACAATTACGTGGGTCACGAACCCAGTGGGAGGAGCTTCAATGAAATCTCACTTGATTATCAAAGTATGAACGTCTTAAGAACATGAATATACCAGTATTAAATACTGTACATGTACATAAAATTGATGTATTAAAAATTTACCGTAATAACTGGGCATTGAGTGGTTGGCATAATCACGAATTAACGTTGCACATCTCAGTGCAGTATATTCTTGTATAATTTATCCATTTGTAGTACAGTACACATATTGTCTTTATTTTCTTTGCAAATTAGACCTCAAATTCAAACAAAGTTTTATAGTTTATGTTATTGAGTCGAGCTTAATACACTTTAAAATGCTCTTCATTGCTTTATTTCAGATAAACCACATAATCCTATGATCAACTCTGGGGCCATCATTGTCAGTTCTCTTTTGAAGCCAGAGTTATCTCTCCCTGACAGATTTGATTGGGTATTGTATCTATAAATTTACATGTATTTCGCATAAATTGGAACACATGAACTTGCATATTTTCTTCTCTGCATTTGTAGATTCTCCAACACATTATACAATTTTAGACTGTGTATTCAGTATAGCTCATTTCCTTGTAGATATCAAAGATGATGTCCAGAATGACAGGGGGAGAATATCTATCTTTTAACAATGCAGTGTAAGTTTACCTATAAATATATAAGTTAACATAGTAAAGTGATTGTTAAATGCCAGGGTATTTTTAAAAAATTCTTTTGGAACAGTAGTGCGAAAAATGACTACCTTTTTATCTGACAAGCATAATTATTAAGTTTATAAAGTCAATTTTGTGTAAGGTGTGCAAGGGAGATTGAGGGTAAAAGGGGCAACAGGGTTCAAAGATTTGAATAAGTATACATGAGTATGAACTTTATTAGAGTATTAACACTACAAGAATCACGAGGGGAATTGTGTAAGGTGCAGGGTATACCGGTATGTAAAAAGTACATGTATATATAGTTCTATATAACCAGTATGCAATCATTGTAATATCAGTACTTTAAGGATGTGATTGATAATTAAATGAACAAATTTCCCACAGTTTGTTAATATTTTAAATCAGGAAATTTTTTTTATTGATCAGAAGTTTATGGGATAATATCAAAATATAGTAATATTATATTTATTTTATCTTTTCTTTTACAGATTTTTATCAGAACGAGAAACTGCTGACAGAAATTTTGCCCTTGCTTACTATATGAGAGAAAAAAAGGTACTTTTGATAATGAACAACAAAATATATGTATGCATACTTGTACCTATACAATCATGTAAAATACAAGTATAAATTTTTACTACAGAAACAATATAATCATTTGGTTGAGATAATTCAAGCCATTTTATCTTTAGACTTGATTTGGAAGACATTTTAATATCAAGGTTTTCAGTTATTTGCACACACACACCCCTTCTTGAGTAGAGAGTGTTCTGAGTTTTAAAATAAAGTTACCATTCAGGTTCTGTTTTTCCTTGTGCAGAGTCTGAGACTTTTTTACATACTGGTACAATATTTTGTTCTTGATTTTGGCAGTGCTTTCCAGAGGGGACAAAACTACATGAAGTGATGGATTTCTATTTCCAAGTAAGGATTTAAAGTAGGAGAGGCAAAGAATGTCATGAATTATTGTCATAACTGCATATCAACTTTCCTAAACATTTTTTTTGGTAAAAAGTAAAAACATTACTTAATTATTGTTTTTGAAGCTGTGTTCTATAGAAGTGACCTGTGAGTCCGCCTCTGTCATTGCGTCCACTCTGGCCAATGGTGGCATCTGTCCTATGACAGGGGAGAGAGTGTTCAGCTCGGCCGCGGTCAGGAACACTCTGTCACTCATGCACTCCTGTGGGATGTACGATTACTCTGGGGAGTTTGCCTTCAGGGTAGGTCAAGTCCAAGTGCTACTTTTCTCTTCCTTTCTTATGAGTACCCACCAGTAGAGCAACAGTCTTGACAGAGACTTCTTGACCAAGTTCTGGTTTAATAATCTGTTTATTTTCTCTACAGGTTGGTCTACCTGCCAAATCTGGTGTATCTGGGGCTGTTCTGCTAGTTGTGCCAAATGTAATGGGGATCTGTTTATGGTCACCACCTCTTGACATGTGGGGAAATAGCTGCAGGGGCATCCAGTTCTGTCAGGTATGGCATGGGGTGTGTCATAGGGAGGGGGGATTTGCTGTGAACCAACTACAGTAAAACTGGTTTAGAACGAACACAGATATTACAAATTCATGGATATAGCAAAGTTATCTTGGATCCCCAGCTATATGACTTTAACGAATTTCTTCTTATAATACGGCTGTAGCAAAGTAATTTCATAGGTCCTAGTGATTCATTATAACTGAGTTTTGCTGTATTATTCGCATGTGAGAAATATCCGAAAGTTCTTCAACCTGCTTTAACTCGGGAATATTAATTTACATGAACCAATCATTTTGCATAGTAATTATAGAGCAACTTTCCTCAGTCCTGTTAATTAATCGTCATGGATTGATTTCAAAATTACATTTCACAATAAAAGATGATGCAGTTAATAAATGGTTTACAGTATCTGGTATTCAACAGAGGTTGGAACATTGGAAAAGATACAATGTACTGTATAAATTACATTACAGCATTTTTCTTCCTTTTGGATGATTGTCTGAAATATATTGATATTTAACTGTATTTAAAGTTTTACATATTATTGATTTTATTTTTAACAATGTCGAGCTTTATAAAATGGTTTGGATATTCATTGTTCATAGCAATGAACAAGTGTATTTACCTGATTTGAAAGTCAAAGTGAATTATTGGAAAAACTTGTCAGATTTTGAATCAAAATATGTGTTTTTGTTACCATATGACTTTATTTCAGGAGCTTGTAAATGTGTACAACTTTCATAACTATGACAATCTGAAACACACAGAGAAGAAGATGGATCCGACCCGCCACAGAATGGATTCAATTTCACAGGATGTTGTAAATATCTTGTTCGGGGCTTTCAATGGGGATGTATCAGCATTAAGGAGGTACAAACTGATGTTTTAGCCAGGAAAATGTTTTTAAGTGCTTTAGAGAAAGCTTCTTTCTCTTAATATTGAAAGCTATTTTCAGAAAGTATCGGTTAGTTACAAAAATTAAAGCTTCAAAGTTCCCATTTTTTATGCATATAAAGCTCAGTTCTACAGGACCTATTGAGTCACATGTGTCAGAACCGTCACATTCATTTTCTGTGTAATATTCTTTGTATGTGTTCTGTGTTCTAAGATAATAACAATGAGATTTTTATAACTTTTCTCCTAGATACTACCTACTGGGGTTAGACATGAATACCTCTGATTACGACGGTAGGACGGCGATACACGTAGCAGCAGCTGAGGGGCAGGAAGCCGCCGTCCGCTTCCTGTTAGAGAAATGTGGAGTCATGGTGAATGTCAAAGACAGGTATGAACCAAAACAAACTAGAGGTTCTGTGAGCAATGAACTCACTAAATGATACCCCCTGCCTCCCATATGATTATAATGGAAAAGTCCATGTTTTGCTGTGGCCGGGAAACCAAAAATATGCGTCGGATCAAAATGTAAAATAAGAGGTGCGCAATGGTAATATGTAATCAAGATTCAGTTAAAGTTTCATTAAATTTCACTCAGTGGTATAAGAGGAGTTGCGTATATTGAGAGATGGGCACCCCAAAGTGTAACAGACGGACGGACATACCGATTACAGTATACCCTCCCACTTTTCAAGCAGGGGTATAAATATAGAGTGTGCTTATCTTGACTCAAGGTCATTCAAGGTCAAAGTCACTTGCAGAAAAAGTGTAATATTCTTGTCAGCAGTTCATGATTTACCCTATACTGATGGTGAAAATTGCATGTCCATATATTACTTAACAAGTACGTACTAATCCTAGTGGGTATATCATTTTTTACACAATGGTATAATGCAAGTTCAAGGTCACAGAAAACAGTATATGGGCAATTGAAACAATTGAAATTGGGAGAATAGTACATGTAATGTGATCCTGCTCAAAGTACCTCTAGTGAATATATACGGTAACAATAAATAATTTTGTTATTAATCATGAGGATTACATTTTCATTAAGAGACAATTCTGCAGAATGAAATTCTTGTAAATAATTTTTTTTAAATATCAAAATAAAAGTTATTATTTTTCTTTGACAGATGGGGTTTCACACCATTGGATGAGGCTGTTAGATTTGAACATCCCAACATTGCTAAGCTGCTCACTAGCTACATGGAAAGGGTTGCCCATCCGGAGTCAGATTAAGCTGGATCAGCTCTAATAAAATCAAAGAGATATCCAGCATTGTATGATCCATGTGTTATAGGAATCTACCTAGACTACTACTGACAAATGGAATTCCAGTTCATAAAATGAAAGTAGAACTCCAGATGGTGAAATGAAACTAGAATCCAAGATCTCTCACAGATTCAGAATTACATCAGGCGATTACTGTAGTCCACACTCTTGCCAAGAGAGGTGTGCTTGTGATTATACTGAAGGTGGAGAATACTCAACTGCAATTTATAGATATATACTGGTACCCCCAAAAGGTGAAGCAAATTAAACGGCTGATTAAACTTCTTTTGTTAATTATTATTAACCCTGATAATTAACCCTCTAACTCATCAGATAGACATTTAATATGATAAACTAAGTGGAGCCTCATTTATCTGGACGCTTTGGTTCCCAGTCAATTTGTATGGATATATGAAGCGTCCAGATAACTGAATTACCAGTTGAACAAGACAAAATTACGTTTAAAAATTCTGTTCCATTCCAGTTAATGCCCCTTCCTCAAAAAAATTATTCTGGCTATTGGTTATAAAGTTCATATTGTTACAGTATTATGTTCAAGGAAATGCAATAGATATGTACATGTACCTGTTGATTTATAGCAGCTATCTTAAATATATTTATAGGACTGCATGTATTAAAAATATTTTTTGTAAGGCCAAAAAAAATTAATCAATAGTTTCTCAGGCACCGCCGCATCAGTTCAAAAATGGCCGCATTGATCAATTTTATTGACATATTGGAAAGGGAAATAACTCAATTTTCTTTTTTTTCCAAGTTGAAAAAGAAAATTGAACTATTCCCCTTTTCATAAATGCTAAAATAGACGTTTTTATGAGAAAAACAATATATTTCTTCTAAATTTACAATATTTTTTTAATTAACTTTTAAATAAATGTTTGGAATAACATTATTTAAAGTTGAATACATATTATAACTAATTTCAAAGGAAAAAAAATTAAGAATTAGTAGATATTATCATTTCATTGAAAAAATGGCTTGAAAGAGTTGTAAAACCTGCTTCGGAGAAAAAAAAAAAGCCTGCCTGCCGCATTGAATTTTGAATTTTTTGGCCTGAGAAACAATTAATTTTTTTGGGCCTAATGAAGCTGTTTTTATACATTATCTATTACTGAATCTCACGTTTAGTTTTCGGTATGATATTTTTTGTGACAGAGGAGGATTAAAAACAGGAATACTCATTTTACTATGTACATGTGTTTGAAAAGTATTGCTTGGAAATTCATTATTTCTTCATTGATTAAGTGACATAATTTTATATTTTTTATCTACCAAAGTTTACCGGTATTCTCAAAGGATTTTTAATGTACTTACTGTAGGAAAGTCTCCGATGTTATGCAGAACATTTTTTGTGAATTTGTTTTATTACCTTTTATTTGTTGGGCTTAAATTATGATTGTTTGCCTTTTTTCACCTAATGTGTTTTTGTCTGCTTCGTTAGTAAATAAAAAATAACAAAATGAAAAATGTAAAAAAAAAAATAATAATAATAATAATGAAAATAAAAAGTGTAAGCAATTGACCATGAATATTTTTTTCAGAGAATAACATACCGTAAATTACATATTTTCGAGGGGTCAAATTTTTGTGGTTTGAGGAAAAAATATGGGTTCTAGGGGATTTAATTTCGTAGAGGAGATAAATTCATGGGTCTATTCCTTCCACAAAAATAAAACCACGGAGTGACCATGAAAATTTGTGATTTCACAGTAGTTGTGTAAATTGTGCTAATACCCACTTTTTTGTTTTCCTTTTTTTCACCCATATTTATTTTTACTAAAAGCATAATTACATATTATTCCGTCTGTACCATCCTTGTTGTTTTTTTTTTTTAAGTTTTTTAAATCTTCCCTGTTAAAATTTGACTTGTATTGCACAGTTCTTAAGCCTGTATGTTAAATACAATCAGTTTATGATGAAAAAAAAAACTCCAAATGAGAAAAAAAGATAACTTCTTATACATTCTAAATTTAACCGGTATTCATGTGATTAGAGAAAAATGTTTATATTTTCTTAATGTCATAATGCATTCTGTATTATTATTGAGTATTTCGATAAAGAATCAAAAATGCCCCACCCCCCCTTTTTTTCTCTTTAGAAAAAGGAGTAGTAGATAATTTATCAAAAGTGTTGCTCACTATGAGGATGTGGAAGTTGTTGTTGACCAGAGCTTTACATTTTACTGTAGAATTGCAAATTATGAATATTTTGAGATTTTTTTTACCCTTTTTTTCATTGTATTTTGAGTGCTTTTTGTTCTGACATGCACTTCAGTTATTTACTTACATGTAATATTGCATTATACATGGACTAGTATTTTGAATTTTAATAAAAAAGAGTAAACCTTTTTAAAATGACTTTCACATGTATTTGATTCATGGTTTCTGTCTTCTGAACTGAATTATAATTGCCAGAAACAGAAAAAGATCACTTTCTGTACCCTTGATAACGAAGGTTAGAGGCATATTGATTTAGTCCTGTGTGATATTTTTTCACAAATTTAATCTTCCTAATATTTTTATGAGAAGAAGTTCGAGACGTTATTCGGAGAAATCAAGAAATTTATGACATTGAATTTCTTTTTGAAGAAAAAAACGACTTTATTTTGATTTTTTTTTTTTTTTTTTTTTTATGCACAATATAAAAGCAGAGTAAATTCCACGAGGCTTACACTTATGGAAGCTATGGATTTTTATTGATACGTTTGGAAGGCATTTTTTTTATGAAAGAATGATGGTCATTTGGTAGAAAAGAACTTATCTATCAATATATTTCAAATAATCATTGTCAAAAAAATTTGGCAGTTTAAGGATATCCTATCATTAGCTAGGAAGTATAACTCTTCAAGTAATCATTTTATTAAAAAAGTCTCAAAATGAAACTTGAACTTGAAATTTTTTCATACTACAATTTTCATTTTATGCATCTTAATATGACTCTTAGGTTTTTTTTAAGTCTTTAGAAAGGGTATTGTAAAAAGTTCGATTTTGTACCCCGTATGTATGCGATGCTTTGCAATGAGAGCACAAGCTTTACACTACGCAGTATAATTGTGAAGACTTCGAATACCGAAATTATGACAATTTCTCTTAATGCCTAGATATATTTGTTCATCATGCAATTTTCAATTAGAAAATGCATAGCCGATATTTTCCTGAATATATTTGTATACTTGAGATTTTATAATTTTCTCTAAATAATATGGTTATATAATTAACCATGAAGAAATGACGACGGTACATAACCTTGATTTCAGATTTATTTTTGAAGTTCAAATAATAAGAACAAGGCCCCTGCTTATACAAAATAAAACTATATGTATTTATAACATTTGTTAAATAGCAGTTTTGGTATTATTATTAACATATTACTGACAATAAAATTTTACAAAATTTGGACTTTGCTATTTAATAAGTCATGAAATTTGATAACTCTCTTGGATTTCTTTCTTTATTCTTCATGATTGATGCAGTCTATCTACAGTTAGTCGAAATGTTTTCGCTTTCAATTCATTGAATGCTCCATCTGTTTTCCCCCTATGGTATTGAGTTTTTTTTTTTTTTGGCACAATACATGTACATATTTTTAACATAGCAATTTCTGAGCAAGTGTGTGTGTGTGTGTGTATGGGGGGGGGGGGGGGGGGGGGGGGGTTAAATCGATCGTTTCAGAAATAAGAGGAATACGTATACTTAGGTTTGTCCAATTCCCTATTTTTAGAAAATTATTCTGTACATTCATACTTATTCACTTTTCAAATTCTCTAATATCAGCTAGGAAACCGATGTGGTTGTTGGAAAAAAGTACTTTCATCTGTCCAATTATCATAATACCTAATACATTGAACTGTATATCGCTGCTATTGTATTTTAGAGTACTTGCAGGATATGTCTATTTATGTCTACTTGCCATGCACCAGATCATGTTTTAAACGACTTGATTAAAGTTGCATTAGTTTCTTTATGCACCAGATTACAAATGTATGTGATATTTAGCACATCTGATGTTCAGACACCAATTAACTGGTCTATTTACATCATTTCCTGACTCTGTCTACATCTGCTGCCGATACAGATGCTTTAAAACCAACACATTCCCGATTAGTATGATCATTATTGGTAATCCTACTGGAATTCTTCATCTCTGGTACATGTAGTGGGATGAGCAGATGTCTTAGAGAAAGTATAATTACCGCACCTTGCGCTAAATGAAAATGAGATATTTTAATTACTTGTTGAAAATGTCTTCACTTTTTTATAAGCAAGACAGTTATAAGAATTCAAAAAAAAAAAACTTTTTTCATTGAATACTGTGTAGAAGATTATTAGAGAGGAATATTTCGCCCACTTTTTGAAATAACACGAAGTGTTCGGATTTTTTACGTTCTTGGCATTTCGGCAACATATTTATGAATGGAAAGATGGGTACAAAAGAAATCCTCAATCAAAATATTTCAAGTAATCATTGTCAAAAAAATCGCCAGTTTGAATGGGATTAGCGGATGAAACCATTTAAAAAAGTATTGTCCGTCAAAGAAAAGAATTGCAATTGTTTTTATAACGCCTACGGACTGTTTGTATACAAATTAGATATATTTCTATGGCCTCCCCTGGCTGCGTGGGCAGTTATAGACACTGGGTATGATTAGAACAAATTTTAATTAAAATTGGCAGGTATACTCTGTAGAATATTTGCTAGATTGAATTGACCCAAGCCGTCAAGTCTCAGGGTGAATGTCAAAAACTTCAAGCCTTTTGTCCAACTTCAAAACTGAACTGACGCTTCATCGCAGATGGACTGATTAAAATTTTTGTTTGACACATATTTATCCACCCGCTAAACATCAGATATATTTTATCTATTACCTTTAAATAGGTAATGTTTATTTTGCAAAGGGCCACTCTAGAGCTGACACTTTTGGGATTTTCCGTTTACATGTAGTAGTTTTTAAAAACATGTCGAGCGAGGATTTCGTCTTATTACAATAAAGACTCGTCCGGTTTAATTGTTATTCTAAATCCCGTATCCGATTATCACGAGCGAAAAATATTTGTGTGAGATTTTGTTTTTCACCAGAAAATCTGGTGTGATCTTGAAAGGAATGTGTATATTGTTATGACAGTCCATCCGCAGATTCACCGTGACTGGAAATACGGCTTATATTGATCGGAAATCTGAGAAAAAAGAGAAAACAGGTTGTGTGGATTGTTGTAACCTTATCAGTAAAACGGTGAGTAGAAAATAACATATTTTTTCGTTTTTCGTTTTATCTGATTCTCTCTTATTCAGAACAAATAATGCGAATTATCAAAGATGTGTATCACCATAATAACGCTGAACAAATAATAATACCCAGGATTCTTCCTGATTGCTAACGTGTTCTGAGCAGAAGGGAACATGATCGAGATAAATCATATGTTGGTCCTGTAAATCAATACAATAACATTGTGTACTTAATTTAACTTAATTAACGAAAATAAATTTATGTAATTAATGTTAAGAATATGTTATATTCAAAGATTTGACATGTTATTATTTTTTATTTATTTTTAAATTTATTATTATTTTTTTTGGGGGGGGGGGGGGCTGTACATTGGACATTGTTAATACAGTAGAGAATATATATATACTGACCAATAAACAGAATGGTGTTTATATAAATAAACCTTTTGTTTACACCTGGTAGAAATAATCTAAACGCTCTGTGTGTTAAGAAGTTTTCCACCCAGAAGTAGGTCATTTATTTAAAGTTTTTCTTTCATTTTACAAATTGTCCTACCTATTTTAAAACCCAGTTCAATGCACATCGTAAGTTGTAATTAAGCTATGCACTGCAGGTAACTGGGTAAGTATAATGCGGTTCAATTAAATAAATTTTTAAAAATATTTTTTAAGAATTAAAGATTTTAATTTCATTTTCTCGTTTTCTCAATAATTAAGAATTAACCAGAATACGAGTAATGAAATTTTGAGATAAGTTTCACTTTCACACCAATTAAAGAATTCCAGAAATCGCATATAGTTTCTGACCCTTCAAAATAAAGCCCTACTGAGAAAAACTTAACCACAGAAAGACCATCACAGTGTGTGGTTATTTCTATTGCTAAAACAGATACTTCCCCGTGGTTACATGCCAGCTATTAACCTTTGTTCGTTTTATTACGTCCAGTATATAAGGGATGACCATGATCTTTTGTGAGCGATTATCTAAGGAATCGGAAAATTACGTAATATTCCGTAAGCCGTCGCCGGGTAGAGCCGATGTTGACATTTCGCTCGTATGCTCGGCTACCCATTGGAAATTAACAGATACTTAAACCAGAAAAAATGTAATAATGAAGCGTGGCGGGGCATGATTAATCTCCTGTCTTGGTGCTGCACATTCAAAGAAAATTTTTAACTCGACCAATTTCGGATTGTGTTTTTTCAAAACTGTTGCATCTCTGAGAGATAGCAGAAGAAATCAATATGGAAACTGATTAGATTTGCCAGCTATATAATCAAACATTAAAAACGGGGACGATTATATGTCAATAATCCATGCTGCAATTTCTGTGTTTCAGATATTTAGTTACTTCTGTGACATTCGGCAAGCACCAGAGGCGACCAGAACCAATTACGTTAATTGAGTTTTGTGTGGAAATAACAACATATGATGGCAACTGTTGGATGGCAGAGAACGGAAGAACCTTGACGGTTTTCCAGAAAAAAAGTAGGAGAGGGTTCGTTGTCAGATGAGGGAGTGATTAGCTGTATAGTGTGTGTGTTGCTTATCATTAACATAATGTAAAAGAGAAGAGAGATGCTCCGCTGTCTGCTCGCCTGCATTGTTGTGTTGTCAGAGAATGTAACCTTCCTCCTCTGAATATAGACCGATTTCTCTTGTGTAATATTTGGTGCAAAATTCGAGTACTTATTCACTTGGAGAATTATTTTTCGTGAGTGGAAATAAGCAGTTGCAAACCCGGATACAAGTTTGATATTTGATCTGAAGGGATAGTTACAGAAAGTACATGAAGTTTTGATATAAATACAATTCTCAGGATGAGTGATTTCGATGATTTTGATGATAAGGATATATTTTCGGACACGTTCGATTTACTGGAGGACATCAAAGCCGCAGGATATGATCTGAAGAAATCGAAATTCTTTAACACTCCGATCGAGAAGATATTCGAGTCTCCGTTTTTCACAAGAAACCGAAATCGAACTCGAGGAGATTCCTCAACACCAAGATATCCGACGTTTTCGTCGAAGTCGTCGAAAAAGTCATCGTCGACGACAGAGTCTTCTGAGACTGATTCTGGCGACGAAATTTTCCATACCAAGTCCTTTAAAAGGTCGGACTCGACTTATTCTACTTCTAGTCATGATACGACAAGTTCCGGGGAGACGATGTCTGATGCCTCGTCCACTCGGAGTAATCCCAGAAAAGTGTCTATCACACGACAAATTCCCGTGCAACATTTTGTCACGTCTAATAAAAACTTTCGACCTGGACAAACTAAGAAAGACTCTGAGAAAAATGTGAAACGTTCGATGTCTCAAGAAGTTCCAGTACAACACTTTGTTACGCCAAATAAAAACTTATCAAATGGGGTATCTAGAAAAATAGAAGAAGAATCTAAGAAAAGTGAGAGGCATTCCATGCCACCCGAACATCATTCCCGATTTGAAAACGAAACAAATGATAGAAGACACCAATCGATGTCTCCAAAACCAGTATCAGTTTCACAAACAAACGATAGTTCCCAGTGTTTTCGAAGTAAATCCATAGATTTATTGAACAAATCTGAAGTTAATTCTAGTCATAGAGACAGGAGCAAATCGAACACACCTGAATTATGTAATATTAGTAGATACGGACAGTCTAAAAGTCTTCCGGATGTATTAAAAAATGATAGAATGTCACTGCCCCCAAATGTTCCGAAGGTGGGTTGCGAGAAAGGGGAGCAACCTACTTGGGACGAAAGACAGGGGAGAATAGAAGGTGCCTTAAAATGGCTGAGGTCGGAATTGGTAGGTATCTACCCGGTAATTAATTATTTAAAAAAAAATCATTATGCACGTGAAAGAACAATGTATTTTACTTATGGTACTTCAGCAAAAAAAAATCTTATAATAAGTACGATGCAAAACCTTTGATTTTAATTTTTCTTCATAGAAAACAAATTATATACGATTTATGGACGAATTTATGAATATAATGTTGTTTTGAAATATTTGTTGAAAGGTGTCAATCCTTCTTAACCTATATATCGTATGTGTAATATAATTTGTCAAATTTACAGTGGTTTGGAATAAGCATAGCACAATCTGGTAGCAGGTACATATTCAATTTCGGTTGCGTTTTCGCCTGCAAAGTGTCGTAATACCATTCTAGTCTCTCCTGTCAATGACGTGACAATTTGATAAACATTCTTAAAAAATGCTATTTCATAATAAACAGATGAACATTTATGTATTGTTAAATGTAGTGAAAGGTGGAAGAAAAACGACCCGCTTACGGGGGTTTATTATAACAAGTCGTTAAGAATTTGAGAAAGTATTAAATCATTTAATATCGTTTAACGTGGGCAGGTGCGTCCTAGTTGAAGAACCCCATATCAAGCCATCACTCATAGATACTTTCGCCCTATTCATTCAAATTGTTGATAGTAAGCGAAAAATAGATAAACTATCATTCAATTTCTTCATTTTATTACATGACTTTTATCTATGTCAGAAGAATTTATATAAAACTAAAAATGGGTTTTTATGACTTGCGAGTCGGCGAAGTCGTCCTCAGTTCGCAGTACGTCGCCAGTTTAGGGGTGTGTATCTCTCTCAAAGAGATAGGAAGTTGAACTCTTGCCAATCTGATTGTGTCCAAGATTCACACACATTGTAAGGAAAGATGTTCCCCGCCACTCTTCTTCTGACATTCTGAAAAAAAAATTCCAACGTCTCTTGCTTTGCATTTAAATTAACTCTATTTCTCTCCCCCATTGTTCGAAAAAAAAGTTTAAAATGATGCAGGACAATAAACAAAGGGTAATAGAAAAATACTTGCGTGCTGTTATAGAGCGATATCGTTATTATAAGAGAATTTGGCACCAAGACCCATTTCACAGATGGATGGGCAAAGAGGTAGTTAACTTGCAAGATTGTATTTTCTAAAGAGGAGACATAAAAATCACCTCCTCAAATAATAAAAGTTTGGTAAAAACGATGTTATATAGGGCAGATGTTGCACATAGGCTGTGAGATAGCTCCGTTTTTGTTATCCAAAACTGTGTAATATGAATTTTTCATGACATAATTTTCAAATAATTTTCTTGTCGTTTAAAACGAATTGCACAAAAAATGTGTTCTGAAAACCTAAATTTTAAATCCGACTAAAATTAGACCGTACCCCTATTAGAATTGCGCTTAAGACTTCTATCATAAATTGCACTGCTACTTGAATGATATTTCCGACTCTTTTTTTTAAAGAATAATTTGTATTCTTTATGTATCAATCTCTTTCTTCTAAATCAAAGCTGACAAATACTTTGCCTATATACCTATGAACTTTACTCTCAATATAAATTTTCAATGTTCCTGTAGGGTTTGTTGAGGGCCCAGGACAAGGTGCTCCTGTCTCAGTTAAAGAGGTGCCAGGACACGATAGAGGTGATAAAGAAACAGAGATCCGAGGAGATGGAGGAGGGCGAGGAGGAGGAGGAGGGGCATTGGGAGGACTGGGAAATAGCAGGTAATTATATAGAATCAAAGTACTGGGAGGACTGGGAAATAGCAGGTAATTATAAAGGATCATAAAGTACTGGGAAATAGCAGGTAACTATATAGAATCAAAGTACTGGGAGGACTGGGAAATATAGCAGGTAATTATAAAGGATCATAAAGTACTGGGAAATAGCAGGTAACTATATAGAATCAAAGTACTGGGAGGACTGGGAAATATAGCAGGTAATTATAAAGGATCATAAAGTACTAAATAGCAGGTATATATAGAATCAAAGTACTGGGAGGACTGGGAAATATAGCAGGTAATTATAAAGGATCATGAAGTACTGGGAAATAGCAGGTAATTATATAGAATCAAAGTACTGGGAGGACTGGGAAATAGCAGGTAATTATAAAGGACTGGGTAGTTATATTGACTGGGAAATAGCAGGTAATTATATAGAATCAAAGTACTGGGAGGACTGGGAAATATAGCAGGTAATTATAAAGGATCATAAAGAACTGGGAACAGGTAATTATATAGAATCAAAGTACTGGGAGGACTGGGAAATAGCAGGTAATTATAAAGGATCATAAAGAACTGGGAAATAGCAGGTAATTATGTAGGATCAGAAAGTATGGGAGTACTGGGAAATAGCAGGTAATATTCTATAGGATCATAAAGTACTGGGGAATTCTATATATACCAATACGATCATAAAGTACTGGGAAGACTGAGAAATAGCAGGGAATCATAAAGTACTGGGTAATTACATAGGATCATAAAGTACTGAGGGACTGGAGAATAGCAGGTAATAACAGGTAATTATGTAGGACAATAAAGTACTATAGGTGATTAAATAGGAAAGTAAAGTACTAAAATAGCAGGTAATTATATCATAAAGTTCTGGGAATAAGATAGGACAAAAAGGACTGGGTAATTCTACAGGATCACAAAGTACTGGGAGGACTGGGAAATAACAAGTAATTATTCAAGACCACAAAGTACTGGGGAATTATATAGGACCATAAAGTACTGTGTAATTCTTTTGGGTAAAAAAAAGACTGAGTAATTATTTATAGGATCATGAACTACCCAAATAGCAGATAATTATGTAGGATCAAAAAGTATTGAGCAATTACATAGGACCAAAATCATACAGGGAAATTTTATAGGTTGATAAAGTACTGGACAATTAAATAGAATTGTAAACTATTAAAATAGCAAGTATTAATATAGGATATTGAAGTGTTGGGTAATTATATAAGTCAATGAAGTACTGGGTAATTTAAAAGAATCACAAAGTATTGGGTATTTATATGTAGGATCAGAAAATCCTGGGTAAATACATAAGATCATAAGTAGAGGGTAATTATATAGGATCATTGTTTTCAGTAATGTTATAAGATCACAAAGCACTGGATAATTTTAAAGAATCACAAAGTACTGAGTAATTACATAGGATAATATAAAATTTTAAGTAAAGATATACAATCCTTGTTAATAATATAGGATCATAAAGTATTTGGTAATAATATAGGGTACTCATAAAGTTTTAGATTACTGTAAAGAATCTTTAATTCCTGGATAACTATATAGAATCATAAAGTACTGGACAATTGTAGGACTACAAAAGACTGGGTAATGAAAGTATAATGTTTTTGAGTAATTAAAGGACTACAAAAAAACCCAATTGGTAAATGTAGGATAATTCAGTCCTAAGTAAAACTATTACAATAGGAATTTATACACATGCAAAGGAACAGGTGGTTATCATAGTTTACCAGCTGGCACAATTTATAACTTTCAGCAGCTTAATGCTGGATATAAGAGAGTAGGAGAATTCCTTGTCATTTTTTTAAAAATAAAAATCTTCTTTGAGGGAAATGAAGTTAATCAAAAACACTTGTATATGCATATCTAATCAATAAAATAAACAAGTCAAAGCCAGTTTCCTGTTATATTCTTTCCACTAAACATATTGCCATGGATATTGAAATCATTGCAATATACCATGAAGTTAACAGAATATTAATCCTTCGTTTGAAGTCATGACAGAGATTTCTCGTAAAGCATACAACCTTGATGTCTTAATATGATATCTGATACACTGCCAGAAAATACCTGTGATATAGAGAATAATGGTGTATGTTACCATTTTCCTGGCACAGTGTGTAATGAAGTATGGCAGTGCACTCCCATTATTCCGCTACTAAGTGGCTTACGAGCTCAGATACTCCAGCAGATAATAAGCCATATGTTATGTCATTTTGCGCACTTCATACAATGTAAATTTCCATAAACCCATAATTCAGAAGCTAATTTTGCACTGCCGGAATTGAAAATTGGAGTGCTTCTGACATGATGGAATGCCGTTTTAATTTTTTAAATTTCCTTTTTGCACTCAATCATTTTATTTAGGCCTACTCTACAACTGAGTGTGAATAAAATATTCCATAGCATTGAATATTTTTAAAGACACTTTAATGTAAAAACATTTGTATGTCCAATGTGCCCAAAATAGAAAATAGACTTTTCAATTTCGAATTGAGAATGAAATTTTAAAGAGATTTATAAGTAAATCTTTTAATTCTCTCTAACTTAAGCAAAATACACAATACTAATATGAATACACATTAGTATATCTTTTTTCTTTACATTCCAGAATTTGACAGAAGATGTAAAGAAGGGGAGATCATAGATGATATTTCTCCATCATTCACCAGAAAGGCAATGGACATTCCCCCTAAAGTGGCTGAGGTCACATCATGATGTCAGCTTGCTTTGTAATCCTTACAGACAGGGCTGATGTCAGTGTGTTTCGTACAGCAAGACAAGTCTCTGCTATGCTGCTACAGCAAAAATATTGTGTTCATCTAGATGTGGCAGAAAATTTCGATTAGCCTCATGTATCTGAAGAATTCAATTGATGCAGCAAAAGCTCTTCAAGTGCATAACAAACATTCATGTTTTAGCTTTTGGACGCAGAATCACTCTGCAATGAGTGAAGCAGCTAGAGGAGTCCTCATCCATCATATCACACTTCAAAGAAACGATGGTGAAAAAATGTGAGATTTGTTCAATGGTAATTCAATGAGAGAAGCATTTGATGCATGTCTTTCCAGTCAAAAAGCCTGGAAATCCATAATCTACTATCAATGTTTCATATGAAGTGATGTGTTCTTGGAATACAAGTGAAGATGGTGCAAAGTGTTTTTCCATTATCAGATGAGAGGAGACTTTCACACAAATTGAATAAGACACCATTCTGCTGGTGAGAGTAATACACTCCTTCACTGCAACATTTTAATATCATGAGCAAGTTGAAGAGACAATTTCAACATACAAAAGCTTCAAATATGGAGCTTGCAATTTTTCGTGGTATCACATGCCATTGTAACTTTCAGTGCCAAAATTGTAAAAAAAAGTTTGTTTTTTTTAAAAGGAAAAGAAACATGGCAATGCTCAAAAATATTTCTTTAACCTCAAATCTTACACGAGTCACTTCTGTAAAAGCATATCATAGGTTATTCAGCATTCTTCTCATGTAAAATCAAAAATATAACTTCATAGGTATGTATAGAAGTCATTTAAACAAAAAATCAAAAATCTAATTTTCAGAATATGCCAAAGAAATCTATATACTCAGGACTTCATCTGAAGTACACAATCTGATGATATTTGTCATATTTTTATACATTTTCAATCCACGATGAAATTAAAAAAATGTATGTTTTTAAAAATAGCTTTTGCATTGTTTTCATCAATTGCTATATCAAGTTGCAGCATTTACTCAGTTTATTTCTTCCTTGAAGAATGTTAATGTTAGTAACAGGTGTTTTGTTGTTGAAAATGGAATGTTTTCATCCTTTTTTTTGTAAAAACATTAAAATACTGAAAAAATAAAACAATTCTCACGATTTTTGCTTTCATGCGCTTTAATAATCAATATTCTGCCCATTTATTATGAGAATATTGAAATTTATTGCTTTTTATGTCAATACAGATTCACCCTAGGAAGAAATTGATTTTTTCCTGTTCATTTATATAAAGCCTTAATTTTTTTTAATTGGTAATTGTACATAGTGACAATAAAACAGTATTTCATAATTCATAGGGCAGACATAAATGTTCATTATAATTCAGCTCAGTATTGATTTTACTCCAGCAACAAAAAGCAAAGAAACAACATATAAAAAAAATATCAACTTGAGGCTATTAAGGTGTCAATGCATTTTTATGGACTCTAGATCTTCAATACACTAGTCTACTGCTCAGTGCTTAGTGATGAGTTTTCTATAAACAGAAATTTGTAAACATGCACTGCATTTATATTTTACATCCTCCTAAAAATTACTGCAGGTACTTCCTTCCAGTGGCAACCATTTAATTTTAAGGCAACACAAAATGTTTGCCATGCAGAAAAATTCCATTTAAGTTGATAAACATGTTAAAATTAGATCTAATTCTGTGCTGTCTCCTACATGAACATGTCGTCATATCCTGGGGGTGGCATGTGGTCAGGGTCTGGACTGAAAGACAAATAAAGAAATGCATGAATATATGGGGAAATCAATAACATATACATGTATTACATAGAAAAGAACTGCACTTTTACCTAGAATACATTTGTAACAGTAATATTGCAAAAAAATAATAAGTATGAATTGAAGTTTGAAAGGCACAGTGAAGGAGACCCCATAACATTACCTAGTATCAATATACAAGCTTCAAAATCAAAAACATTAACTCAAAATCTAGTATCAATGACCCTTGCTTTCTTTATTGGTCTGTCTTGGTGTCACATAATTGATAAATTTTTCTCAATTCTTTTTTATAAGAACAATAAATCAATATCCTTACCCTGGTCCGGTTCCTGGTGGTCCAAAGGGATCAAATCGTGCACCAGGTGGAACAGCACCTCTGATCAATAAAAGAAATGTCAACTCACTTCAGATTCACCTAAAACTGTTTTTTCACAAGAAAGTTATGATTCTCTTTTATCTAGCTAAATTTAAAAGTTGTTCATGAAGATAACATAACAATATCCATCCCATCAATCAATTTTGTTTAGGATTTTCAAGTTGAGTTTCATATGTGAAGGTAATAACTTCCCTTACAGATCTAAAGATGTCCTTCAAACTTTACATGTAACCAATATTATTCAAGAATAATAACAAAGACACTTTCTTTCAAAAGCATGTAGCTAATAGATATTTTGAGTGTTTTTAGGGGGTGAAATTTGTGACCACTCACGGAGGAAGTCTCCGGGGTAATCCAGCACTGGGGTCAGGTCGCATCCCTGGTATGGCCCCCGACCTCATGGGGTCAAAGACCATGCCTCCACCTCTTCCTGCAGCAAAGGGGTCAAGATCACCTCTTCCAATTGAGAAAGGGTCATCTGGTTCATTCCTTTTAAAACACCAAGAAAGTCACACCTTTATCTTTTTATGCAGCACAATTTCTTTTAATGGATACATTTATCAATATACATATTTATAATTTATCACAAAATAAACCACTAGCAAAACTTAGATGCATGAATGTATTTATTATTTATCTAAGCATTTAAAGCCAGTTGTGAAAACACCTAGAAAGGGTAAATTTCAACTTATTAGGAGATTTTACTTTCTCTTACAAAGAAAGACAACTCTGCATGAATTCACATACCAACCACCAGTTGCCCTCTGTGGGGGTCTTCTGGGAGGAACTCTGAGGGGGTCATCATCTTCTAACCTTGACCTTTGAGGCCTTGACCTTTCTTGACTTGTGGAGGGTTGACTTCTACTTGGAGGCTTTAGTACTGCTTCCACAACAGTAGATTTAAATAGGGAACAGAGTTCATCCAGCTGCTTGTATGCTCTGAAGAATGGAAAAAAAAGTATTTGATGAAATAAATTGTTTTATATGGGTAAATGTCTATGCTCTGTAAGTATTATTTGACATAAACTGTCATCTTTGAAAAATTCCTCCATTCGACATTTTATACTAATGCATATACCGGGGTAGCTACCAGCAAGAAAACATGCCAAACAAATTAAAAATTGTAATAAAAGATCAAGACATTTTATACTAATGCATATTTCTTTTACAGTTTTATCTACTTTTACTGGAAAATATCAAACATATCAAGAAACAATAATGACAAGGCTATGCCTGATGGATGTGACAATAATTGATATTTCTAAATCATGCCTAGTCAATCCATTAAAAACTAGTACCTCTCAAAAATTATTAACCCATCCTCCATTTTCTTTTTAATATAGAAATTTACTGATTTACATTATTCAATATTTACCCATCATAAGTTTCCACACTTCCTGTTGTGTACTCTGATGTCCTCACATTTAAACTTTCTACAACATCTGTCCCAGCTTTCTGCAAACATCAACCATACAAAAGACATCCAATAAATTTTTCTTTGTGAATTATAGATAAAATCGAAGAATTCCATTTTGGTGTATTTAGTTTGTTTACAAGAAAAATTGCAATACCATTTTCTGGGCCAATTATTAATAGTATTTCGTAGAAAAATCCCTAGACTTGCAATTTCTTAAATAAAATATAAAGGTACTAATTAATAACCACCAGAATTGGTTTTATATAATTTTTCAATCTTCATTTCTATTCCTAACAATGTTCTTTGGAAAACTTTCCAGGAATTTAAGGTTTTAAATCGTTATTTTCTACAGTAAAATACTTCTCTACATTGATTTATTTACCATGAAATGGACCAAAAAGTCTTCATCAATACGAATAACTTTCAGGATGAAAACTGCATCCTTCTCATTTTTTGATGTGTAACGCATGGCATAAAAGTCTGGGGTGGCATTCCATCCTGCAGGCAGACTCTCTGATGCTTTCTCTGTGGCATTACTTGGTTTCTGTAATCAAGATGTACAGATGATCAATATCTAAAACAATTCCAAAATGAAACCACATTGTACAGTATTTTACTGCTGTATTATAAACTTAGTTTGAACAGGGACCTATATACTATAATACACTGGTTTAAATTTGTTGCTACCTGTTATATTTTGTAAAGATAGGCAAACTAGCATTGGGTCTCTATAATTAAATGTAGTTCTGTAGAATTAAAAAAAAAGAATCAAGTAAAATAGACATTGATGACAGTTAGTTAATCTAAGTAATCTAAGTCAGGGGCGGCGCAACATGGTGAATACTTTTTTGTGGACGCACTGAACAACAAAATTTTGGGGGCCGAAAAATGATTACCCCCTAATCAGCAATTTTACATTAGTTTCTAGGCAAAATTGATAATATAGGTGAATTTTTTGACAATTTTGATGTGCATATTTGACCATTCTGATAGCATTTTTCTTACACTTTTTCAGTTTGTTACGCAGTCATATTTGATGTCTGTTCTTTCCTTGTACAAAATGTGGACAGTCACTCAATAAAGAGAAAGGATATGTCCAATAGCTTTGTTTGACGAAACCAACTAAAACAATTTTAGACTTTGACAGTTAATTTAAAATCCGCAAAGGTTAACATACGGCAGTTGGTATATACAGTGTGTTATACATGGTCAATGAAATACCTGATTTTATTCTAATAATGCGAAAGTGAAAGTAGACCATTACAACGATTTTAGTCATCTTACATTAATATTGAAAATACACCTCTAAAGATTAAAAATTTGATATAAAGAAATACAGCTATCAAATTCTTTGACTTCAGTTGACTTTTTTCTTGCACATTACCTATGTACATTGTATACATTTTAAAATGAATGTTCGTAAATATTCACAAATCTGCTATCTTTAACTTTTTGCAACAATAAAAAAAATTGTAAAATATATACTAATGGTTTTTGCTTTAAAAATGGCAGTTAAATGGCGTGAAATGGCAATATCATAAAAATAATGTGGCATTAAAAAAAATTTTTAAGGTTAATAGGAATTTTACCAATTTTTCGATTTTTGATGTTCATATATAAATCTGAATTATGATTTTTGACGTCTCGCACGAATCCGACATTACAAATGTAGGTTATTATTATTTTTTTTTTTTGGAACGGTTATCGTTACAGAAGTTTTAACTAAATTTTTCGGTTGAAAACATGAAAAGACAGTGTAATAAATATAAATTTTAAAATAAAAAAAAAATTAAGGGGTTGTATATTAGTGTGTGGCACTGTACCTGGGGTTTTATATTGTGAAATCTGCAGCTATTATACAAATTGTGCTACATGTTTGTAATTTTTTGTTATATAAACTTACATATGAACGGTTTCGCTTTAAGACTATTAATGAAGTCAAAATGTTTTGATTTCAGTGAGGTGTATACTTTCCTTTTAAAAAGTAAAAGAGTTATTTTTTCATTAATTTTTTAAATATTTTGTCAAATTGTTTCTAATTATTATTTTTTAAAATTTATTTTTTTTTGATAAATATAATATACAACGCTTTACAGTTTTAACCTTTCTTATATCGTAAAGTAAAAAAAAAATCCCCATATTTCAATGTTATTATTATGGCTGCAGCATTTTTTTTTCATTTATTAAGAGAAATGTTTAAAACGTCAATTGACTTAGATTAGAAACGTAATACACTTTTGTTTATCAGCAGAACTGAATTATTAGTGTTTATAAATGTTTTACTGGTTTGTCATATTTTGATATATACATTTGTGTTAAACATTCCCCCGGGTGATCAATGGCCCGCCCCAAGGTACAGAATCGGCCGAAGTTGGCCAGAGAGATCGGAGGATGCTGTCGCGGGAAAATGAGATAGCGCAAAAATGGAGGAAGGGATGGATGTAGGCGACACATTCGATACTTATGAAGATTTTGAAAAAGCTTTAGAAGCCTACTGCGAAAGAGAAAATGTTCAATACACCACACAGACAGCAAATCAACAAAAATTTGGCCAAAAAAGTGAAAACTTATGTATATTATCAATTTTGCAAGAATATAATGTGAAATTGCCGATTCAAGAAGAAAAAATTTTTTGAAAATTTTGTCGTATTCATCAGTAGTGTGACCGTATAAAAAATGTCATTGAATTAATGTTTAGGACATATGCAACTTTTGATGCAATAATGCAGAAATTATATATTTTACAAAACATTTGAAACAATTACATACTTTTATTTTAAAGAAAAAGGTAGCTATTAATCTCTACGTAGGTGAAATAGTCTTTGGTATATAACCTGGTCAATGAAATACCTGATTTTATTCTAATAATGCGAAAGTGAAAATTGTTGCTTTAATTACGAAGTTTTAATTTTTTGCCAAGTTTTGTTGATTTTATCATTTGTTTTAACACATTGCAAATACCATTTTAGATATTATCTCTCTTTTTATTGTGAAATACAGCTATCAAAGCATCCTGACTTGACTTCAGCTGACTTTTTATGCTATTGAACAGAAGTTCGAGGCCCGGAGAGGCCATTGTGAAAGTAGTCTCTAAACCAAAGTTATTTCATGTAAACTTTTAAAAGCCTTTTATGATCTACAATCAAATTATTTTAAAAACTTGAATTGATATTTCAAGAAAATCCCATTTAATTAAAATAAACAATTTAGATCGTTTGTATAATCAATTTTTTTTCAAGTTTGAATTTACCTTAGAGATTAAAGAGAACCAGAAAAATCATGGCGGCCCCCATGAAACACAACGCGAGTGCACTGTGTAGAACATATTTGCTCTATTTTGCCAATCATCATGTTGATTTTAGGATTTCTGTACGTAGAATTGATATGCTCTTCTACTCTTATTTTTTTCAAAAGAGATTTATATGGTACTTTGGTTCAAATTCAACTAAAAAGAAATGTTTTATACAGTTATATTTTTACATCTTATTTGTTTCTTCAACATTGATACAGGAGTTGGTGGCCCTGGCTGAGATGTTTGGAATTGACTTGCCAACGGAGAGTTTGAAAACACATGATAAGGAGGTATTTAATTTGTACTGTCTGAGTTAAGTTAATTCAACACACATTAACTTTAGCCACTTGAGGCCTTCGGCTTGTTATGAAATAGTTACACATGAAACTTGGTTCATCATCATTTAACTAAGGAGGGAGAAAATGTGATGAACCAGACTAGGATTTGAAACGGGGCCCCTGGAGTCTCTTTTCAGGCAATCTACTAAGTGTGCTTTCTTGCTACTAGTGATCAAAACTGCCTGACTACAACATCCCCCCCTCTTTTAAGGTTTCGGGCCCCAACCTGTGCTCTTAACATATTATTTCCAGAGCATGCTGTTGGCACCAGATATGACAGAAAATTTAACAGCCCAGCTCAGAGTGCTTCTTTGATTCCATGATGTGATTTTTTTTTATTATTCAGAGAACACTTTAAATTAAACATTTCCATGTCTCTTACAATTGATATAGATATTTCTTAGTTTTCTTGTGAAAGAAACTTCAGTTCAAACCACCATTATTCATATTAGAATGTTTATTGCCATCAGAAATTAGAGCTGCATTTCTTTCTCAGTCAAAGCATGTAGAACAACTCTTATTTTTCTAATGAAAACCTCCTATTCAATTTTCTTCCATGCTTTTTTTTTTTCATTTTCAGTGTCCTTTTCTCAACCTCACCTTGACATCAGAAGTCCAGGCAAAACAGCTAGCAAGTAGAAGTGTGCTTATCAAGTAAGGTCACCTTTTTTGAAACATTTAAAAAAAAAGTAAATCATGCTGAAGAAATAAATTTTATTTAAATTCATTGTGTTGACAACTGCTGTAAATTCAGGTACCTTTAGATGAAATTTTCAGAAACAGTAATGCTTGTTTCAGATCAGTTATAGAGTTATGGGGCCATGGAAACACACAAGAAGATTTGTTTCAAGATTTAAAGAAGTCCACAGATTTAATGGTAATTATTTTCAACAAAGCCTTATCAAAATTACTTGTTTTTGTTATCAAATCCAATTATTGATACTATACATTTTTAATAGTTGATTGATTTTATTTTTCAGGTGCCATATTTCTCTGAAAGTTCCTCGTTGAAAGTTATTGTTGATGGTTTCAATAGGTCTTTACCACAAAAATACAAAATACAGATCATAGAGGTAATAAGCTTTTAGGGATAAATATCTTTTTTACAAATACTGTAAAATCACATATTTTCACGGGGTCAAATTTTCGAGGTTTGAGGGAAAAATATTTGTTTGTGGGATTTGATTTCATGGTTTGGAAAATTTTTGTTAGTAATGCAATTGAAATTTTACATTTTGTGCCTAAATGTGGTGGTATCATAAATTTGTGGGTCTCTCCACAGCTCGAAAACAATAAAAATTACCCCACGAAAATTTGTGATTTCACAGTACACTCTGGTAAATACTGTTGACTATTCATACATGTACGCCAATGTGAAAGGTAGGCACATATGCTTGAGCACTGGATATTTGAATAAATATCATTGACGTTGCTACTTAATGTTACTAAATGATTGATTAAAAGTTGAAGAACTGCACATGTAAAACATACGAAATTCAACTTCATGTACTCCTTATGTTAATCATAAGTTGTCATATAGTTGCTACATGTTCACGTTCTGTTATGTAGTGGCTCTCACTTTGGAGGAAATAAAATATTACATAGATAAATGTGGATCTTTTGATATGCTTACTTACAATTCCCACACAAAGAATTATCGTTTATATAGTTATTATAAGTGAGAGGATCAAAATATTTCATTTTAAGTAAATTGATTTTATTTTTTTCTCCCCAGAAATTATTAACAGATGATGTTCTACCGTTTAAAGGGAGAATCGATCTTAAAAACCCGGAACAAATCTATTATTACTTAGAAGACTTTGGGAGGCAGTCGAAAAATGCCAAAGGAGACCCTCAGCATATCTACTTTGGTAGGTGGGTAAGTATTCTCTTCATAGCACATTGTAAGTACCTGTAAAACTGCAAAATTTAAATAGGGTGAATTCACCATGCATCGGATACCCTTGTACTTCAACAAGTTCTAGCGATATCGCTACCGACGGAAAATTATCAAAATGGAGTTTAACATTTAGTTTGTGATTGAAATATCAATTTGGGACACAATTATATGCCCTTTATTTAGAAAATATCCTCAAAAATCGAGTTTTTAGGAATAACTCAAAATTCACCATGGATCGGACATTGTTTACCATGCATCGGACAGACGGTATTTTGACTGGATAAATATCATTGCAAGTAGAAGTGTACCTTTATTAAAGTGCTTTAAAATCCTTGATATGGATATATTTTTATCTTTTATCTAAGAATTAACCCTCAATTATATCTAATTGACGATATCGTTGCACAAATGTAGAACGATTCAAGAGACCTCACTCTGCCTTAAAAATGCTTTAAAATGCTTATAATGCGGTAATTCGCGCCTTTTTTCATGGTTTATCACACATGGTTTGTAGAGATAAATTGAGTCAAATTCCAGACGTCATACATCAATAACCTGTATTTTGACTGAAAATATAGAGTTTTTATTTTCCTTTTTCGCAAAAAACAGCTATCAGCTGGGTTCTGTATGAAAATGGTAGTGCTTACCTTTGCATCGGAAAGTGTCCGATGCATGGTTAATTTGTGTCCGATGTACGGAGAAATGAACATACTAGTGAAAACCAGCTTTTAAAAGAATTATACGAACATTGAAGTGAAATTTCTTTAAAATTTATGTAAAATTATCAATCTTTGACTTTATTCACCAAAGTCTGCCTCGTTCCGTTGAAGTTAACCATATTTATCAGGTTAATAAAAATAATCAGGTCAATTGAAATTTATCAGGTCAACGTTTTCAGCGAATATTTCATAAAATTGCATCAAAAATTTATATGATTTGATATAAAACACTTATAGTAAAACTATGCAGTTAACTTATATATGGTCAATTATAACATAAATTTAACCATATCTATCAGGTTAATGAAATTATCAGGTCATTCAAAAATTATCAGGTCAATAAAAATTTATCAGGTCAACGTTTTCTGCGAATATTTCATAAAATTGTATCAAATATTTATATGATTTAATATAAAACACTTATATTAGAGTAAAACTATGCAGTTGGACTATATATATGGTTAATTATAACATAAATTTAACCATATTTATCAGGTTAATAAAAATAATCAGGTCCTTCAAAATATGTCAGGTCGACGTTTTCAGTGAATATTTCATAAAACTGCACCAAATATTTATATGATTTGAAATAAAACACTTATATCATAGTAAAACAATGTAATTAAAATATATATGGTCAATTATAACATAAATTCAAGCATATATGAAGTTAATACAAATTATCAGGTCATTCAAAAATTATCAGGTCAATTGAAAATTATCAGGTCAACGTTTCAGCGAATATTTCACAAAATTGCATCAATATTTTATATAATTTAAAATAAAACACTTATATTATAGTAAAACAATGTAATTAAAATAAATATGGTCAATTATAACATAAATTCAAGCATATTTATGAAGTTAATACAAATTATCAGGTCATTCAAAAATTATCAGGTCAATTGAAAATTATCAGGTCAACGTTTTCAGTGAATATTTCATAAAATTACATCAATATTTTATATAATTTGAAATAAAACACTTATATTAAAGTAAACCAATGTAATTAAAATATGTATAGCCAATTAAAACATAAATTCAAGCATATTTATGAAGTTAATACAAATTATCAGGTCATTCAAAAATTATCAGGTCAATTGAAAATTATCAGGTCAACGTTTCAGCGAATATTTCATAAAATTGCATCAATATTTTATATAATTTGAAATAAAACACTTATATTAAAGTAAAACAATGTAATTAAAATATGTATGGCCAACTAAAACATAAATTCAAGCATATTTATGAAGTTAATACAAATTATCAGGTCATTCAAAAATTATCAGGTCAATTGAAATTTATCAGGTCAACGTTTTCAGCGAATATTTCATAAAATTATGCATGTTTTATTAAATAAAGTATATTTTATCATTGAATTATGGTTAATAATCAATAATTAGTTTTGAAAAATCATAAACAACTCATAATTTTCTAATATTATTAAAAAAAAATTCCATCAGGTCAATATCAGGTCTTTAGTATATCAGGTCTTTAGTATGTCCCCGTTGAAGTCGAATTTTAAGAACGATAACTCTAAAAATCGCAAAATCTTAAATTTCTGGTTGTTCCCCTTTGATGATGTAAAATATGACGTAACTTCAAGGCCATTCTCGTGGTATTTTTATCACAACATGATAATAACAATCGGTATCATTAAAAAATTTAAGTCTTCAGCTTCAAGACAGAAACAAATAAATACACGGAACTTGAAAGAGAGTTTATTGTCTTAAGTTGTCCGATGCAAGGTATGTGTACGATGCATGGTGAATTCACCCTACAATAGTACATGTTTATATATACTGTATTTCACTCATCCTAAAAATTTGTTTTTCAACTTTTAGGTTGCAGATGGGAACCGAGATGAAATTCAGAATCAGCTTGTGACAAAAAGGTCCTTTATTGGTAACAATTCTATATTTTGTTGTTCTGTTCATAATTTGTGGGCTTCATAGAATAAAAAAAACAAACATCAAATGGTGTGTTTAAATCATTAACACAAAACACAGTATTTATTTCTTACTTTGTAAAATGGTTGTCAGGGAGTATATTAGATTGATTATTTTTGCAGGAAATACTAGCATGGAGGCAAGTCTTTCACTGCTCATGGCCAATTTGTCAAAAGTCCAGAAAAACATGCTTGTGATAGATCCATTTGTTGGAACAGGTTTGAAAACAATTATCAAGTAATAAAACTTGTTCAAATTCAAAATTAATCTCAATTTGGACAGGAAATTCAATTTTGCAAACATTTTATTCATGAAGATATAATTTCAAGACAGTAAAATTTTAACTCAGTTCACCGAAGACTTCAATCATTAAAAAATACAGGTACATGTATTAAAAAGTGTATTTACATTTTACAGGTAGCATTCTAGTGCCATGTGCATACCATAAAGCTTACGTCATGGGAACAGATATCAATTACTTACTTCTTCATGCTAAAGGTAGGTACTTAATCAAAATGATTTTAAAGAAAAATGTTAATTATTCTTTGATATTTAATAAAGCTTTTACAGTGAGTAACTTTGAAGAAAATTTAAGATTTGGTATTGTCAAAATATTTTCTTCGTATGTATTGAAAGAGGAACAAATATGAAATATGTGTTACATATATATATTTCATGCTCACCTGAGCTGACGTTAGCTATTTTGATCAAGAGTATCTAGCCTGTGTATATTGTGTGTTGTCTGTATACTTTTCACATTTTTTACCTTGCTCTGATAAAAAAACCACTGAGTTTTGCTTTTATCGAACCAGTGTTCAGCTGAGTGATGTGGCCCATGGGCCTGTTGATCTAATTATTGTTGAAATTATGTGTATAACAAAATATATACTTGAATTTGAAGCTCAATTTATACAATATTTGCCATACAACAGCTAAGCCGAGCAGATCTAACCAGAAGGAGAGATCGCCCAATGAGAGCATCAGGAATAACCTGGCAGAGTATGGCCTGGAATCTTATTACTGTGATATCTTAGTCGCTGATGCTTCCAAACACGCCATGTGGAGGCAGCCAGAGATATTCGATGCCATCATCACTGATCGTATGTCTGCAGTCACATTCTCGAATAATTCTAACAGAATGTTAAACATAGAATATCAGTATAAGTAGATGATTTCAACATGTATGATAATTAATCATTGTTTAAAAAGAAAAAAAAATGTTCGCCAGTTAAAGGAATAAATATTATGATATTGTAACGAAACCGAGGGTATCGTGTAATAAACTCGTGGGCCGCTATTGGTTTTTCTGGTCACTTGGTTGAGGTTTGATACTTCCGTTGGTCACAGTTTATATAATGGTTAATAACCAATTTTTGGTCACTTAATTGGTTAACAGAATGACCAACTTTTGGTCACTTATTAGGTTGACGTAATGACCAAATTTTGGTCACTTTAAACAATGTTTCTTAGGAATAACACTTGTTAAAAGTTGATAACATTTATTAAGACGATCAAATGGTTCACTTATAAACACACAAAATGGTACACTGTAACTTGGTTGGCACAACATTATTTGGTTAACAAAAAGGTGATCAACCGATGGTCAATCCAGGACGTTCCTAATAACTTGGTTCCCTTTAATGGTTTCGTATACATAGACTTGGTACCGTCTTATAACGAAGTATACAGAGTCGTTCCCCCAAGGTGACTTTGGTCACTTTTCCCTTACCAGGGAAGGCTGTGTGCTCCGAGTCGCTCCCCACAGCCAACTGAAGTCTAAACCCAAAACAGCTGGTTTATATAGACAAAAGTTGTTATGATGACGTAAGAGACAATCAGATACCTATTACGTCACAATCAATGCAATCAATAAGTTAGCGGGTTTTAACCATCAAAATTACCTACTTAATTAATATCGTTGTACCCATATAAAACATACAAAATACACCACTTTGTCATTAAATCACACATGTTAAATTAATAAAGTCATTAAATCAATTATAATTGGTCATTTCTTTCGTTAACTGTTCATTGACAATTATTTACGGAGTTTATAAACATCGGGTTCAAGTTCCATATATTACAAACTTGTAGACAAGAGTTAACCCGAATTTCACAGGTACACTTCGTGAAACGTAACAATATTTAGAATGATTAAATGGCATTCTCATGGAAGATGTTTTAATATGTGTTCTAGCTCCTTATGGGATCAGGGAAGGGGCAAAGAAAGTTGGGAGAGAAGACCCCCAAGGATCACTTACACCAGATCAGTAAGTATTATGTACATTTACTTGAGTCACATGTAAAGCATATTTACATGCAATCAAAGTTGAATTTTTTTGAGAAAGTACTAATATAAACCATTTGCCTATGACATATTTTGCCTTAATTGGAGTTATTCCCCTTAGCCGCCATCTTGAAGAGCAAAGTAGGGAATTTTCCTCTTTGAGCTACAAATTTTAAACATGAATGCAAGGAATATATGTGGAAAATATTTACAATATTAAAATCATGAATTAATAGAGGCTTTAACAAATATATATTCATAAGAAAAATTGTATTATCTTTACCTCAGTAACGAGAATAACAAATTGAACTTGGTTGAATAATGAAGAGATCTGGAATTTTTACCTACAATTTGACGGACATAGGAAATAACTGTTGCTTAAATCACCTCAATGGAAAACACTCTATACACTTGGATTTATTATCATATTTGTTTATCGATATTTTCTTGATTTTTAGAAAAGTGGATCACATTCCACAGAAAGTGGACTATGGTTTGTCCAACATCTTTAATGACCTTTTGAACTTTGGTTACAAATTCCTGCTGCTTGGTGGCCGACTGACGTACTGGTTCCCTGTCCACAGAGCCGAGTAAGTACCTGTAGTTTAAACCTAGCTATTCATTCGTTGAATGTTTGAATGACAGGATTTCACAAAGAAAGTATGTGTTCTTGTTCAGGATGCTGTGAAAGGAAGATGTTTATAAAGTTCTTGATTTTATGTTCATCTGTATTCTAATTATTTTTTTTTTAGTTCTGAAGATAACATTTCACAACATTTGTAAAAATTTGCCATAATAGCAAACATAATTTTTAGCAAAATTTTGGCATTATTAGCCTAACGAAAATTTAATATCACTAAATATTGAATGCATTTCATTTGTTACACCTTCTTTAGTGAACATTTCAAAATAGCTAAAATTACATCTCGCTAAAAATATAATACCACAAATGTTTTATTGATAATTGATAGAACTTTTGTTATTTTTTTAATTTAACTGAAGATTTTGCATTTTTGTAGAATTTGCTGCAGTTTTTCAGATGATGAAATTATATACAGTTATATATTATTTCTCTATTTCCTTTGTAGTTACAAAGAGGAAAACATTCCCCACCATCCCTGCATGAAGCTGATGTCAAATTGTGAACAGGTGTTGAACAAGAGGATATCAAGACGACTTATCACCATGGAAAAATGTCAGCCATATAGGGTCAGTACAACACTTACAGATTTTCACCTCTTGCGTAGAAAATTCAGTTAAGCAAGCTTACTTCCCCCTCTCCTACAAAAAAGTTCAGTTTCTTTTCATTTTAATAACAAGGGAAATAATTCAATTTCAAACTTCAAAATAGAAAATTGAGTTATTCCCCTTTCGATGTGCCACAAAACAGTTTTTGACATAATGAATCTAAACCCTTTAATTGTATTTTTCCTTATAGAATAAATGTTATATTTGCAGGAGGACCAGTATTTGGCTAGTCAGACCAATGTGGACCACTACCTCAATGCCTCTTTCAGAGACATGTATTTCAAAGTGGCAGAAAATGCACAGAAATCTTCCAAGTCTGAGGAGAATTTACAGACCAATAAACCACCATAAAATTTCTCCAAGACCATTAAACGATTTAAATTAATGAGACTATAGCTTTCTTCAAAAGCTTGCAGTACCATGGAATGGTGAATGATACCTGTGGATTGCATCAGGAAAATGCAGTCTTGCTCACACCTTAGAGATTCTCTGACAACTGAAAATTTAGGGTTTGATACTTTCTTTGAAAGAAAACCATTGTACCTTGACAGAAATATCAACTTCAGTAAATTGATGTGTGGACCGTTTCCTGTGAACATAAATGCTTTTATTTAATGAGATGCAGCAAGCTCACCATCATAAGAACTGGATTCTTTGCATGTAGGTTTCTGCTTTATCTGAAGAAAAACCAGTTTGACAAAAAAATATTCACACAATTCTTGTAAAATCATGTACTGTATGTCTTTCATAAAAGCAATAAATAAGAAACAGAACGTCTCCATTATTTCCATACATGATTATTTTGCAGATGCTGACATTATTATAAATTACCAAAAGAAAAATCTCCCATTATTCATGTACATGTATGTATCTTTTATAATACCAAAAATATAATAGAACAATAATCCAATTTTCAGTGATTATAGGAATAAACCAGCAATGGCAATAAACTTCTGAATAATGGTGGGAGAATAAAAATTACTTTAATATACATGTATGTATTTGCACAGCTACTTTCAGAATTTCTTTAGCATATACCAAGGTAAAAACATGTTATAGAAGAACACGCGAAATTAATAAGGTGAATTACTCATGGAATATTGTCCTTCTCATGGATTTGGAAACAACTGGTCTTGAATATCAGAGAGACATCAAACCCCAACCTACAGACACAAAAAACACATACAACTGTACATATTTATCCATGGATAAATATAATATATAATCAAAAAATACATCAACAAGTATTCCATAATACATGTACATGTATTAACATTCAACAATCTCTGCTCATTTCTTTCAGAATTGCACAACAAAATGTGTTACATGTACATATCAGAAAGTTTGTTCTTTGTTCCAGTTTTACTGAAACCCTGACTGCATGTAATACATGTCAACTGTTATCATAGTGTTTACTACATGCAGCTCACAAAATAATGATTTACTGTGCCATGATAGGTTAAAATTTCCAGATGAACACAGGTGTGTGTAAAAGTGTGTCGAGTGGTGCATCCAGATCACATTATGAGGAATTAGTGAAGTGTTTGTTCAGTTAGATGTTTTCTCTGTGAGGGATTCTAACACTCGCTCTATAGACTCTAACACCCTGGTCTGATTCGTGAGATCTTCTGGCTGGACAGTCTGTAATAATACAAATACCCATCAATTAATCACAGGTACAAATGGTACAAGATGGAAGTTTAGGTCTTGTAAAATTGCTTGAACCATGCCAAAAATACGTTTTGGTTCTGGGGACAAAGATGGGGGAGGCAAGGTTTTCAATTTAATGGATATCTTTTTTGGAAACAAATTTATAATGGGAAGGGAAATACAATGTAACTCATAATTCTCATTCACTTCAATCAAATGGAAAATTCCCTCTTTTCAATATCAACCAACATATCAATATGTTGGCATTCACCATATAGTACAACATTTTTTATAATTCAAAAGAACTTCATATCAATATATCCATTATTCTCTTTATCCCCTTTTAACTGTTCCTCAGAAGACCAGATAAGTTAAATAGCTCTACTTACAGTGTATTTTTCTTTCAGCTGTTGGGCTGCCCATGCTGCATACTTGATATTACTCTGTTTGTCTTTCCTTTGTGCACTGGCTGCTAAGTTACATGAGGCCTACAAAAGAGACAAGATTTACTCTCTCAGAAATGCTTACAGGTATAAATGTATCATTGGTTGTCTGTAAGGAACACCAATATTTAATAACTGCAGAACAGAAAGAGCAACTGCATATTCTAACAAAATTTAATATTTTGTGAATATTCTAAGGGGAAAAAATGCAAAATTTTCTCAAGAACAAAAAGGCACCTCCTGTTGAAATCTATACAAATATATGCATGAGGAGGAATTACATACCTGGTAACCTATACAATGTTTTAGTGACATCAGTAACTTACCAGGAAGCAGCCATACAGGGACCGTACACTGTTGGGGTTGAGTTTTATGGCCTGTGCAAAGTAGGTCCTGGCTACGGCCATACTGTCTGGGTCACCCATTGTGTATTTTATCTGTAAAATATATAAATTAAGAGGTCTAGAATTTAAGAAAAAAATTCTAAATAGAGTATTTAAGTATTTTTAGGCACATTTTTGGGCCCTACCATGCCCTATTGCCTTAAATGACACATATTCTTTTTGATGTTACCTGAATACAAGAAAATGTGTCTTTTTGTTGAAGAAAACAAATATGTCAGATGAACTTAAAAACAACAAGTTGAAAATGGACAGCATTTCATCAGAAGTTCTCAACTGAATCTAAGACTGAGAATAAATTGTCCCTATCTCTCCTTCTTAAACAACTCAAACTTAAATTTATAGGACTTTGAATGAATCTGCAGATCTACATGTACCGGTAGTTTGATTATTTCAATACATGTACTGATATATCAAACTTTGATTATTAACTAAAGAAACTGGGATGACAGCATGACATACTAAGATTTAATATAATCTGAGGAAATACAAACCTCTGCAAATTTTTGGTGATACAAATGATTATGGGGGTTAGACATGATCAGTTCCTCCATACAGAATGCCGCTTTGGTGTAGTCTTGAACAGCTAAATATAGATCACATAGCTCCATCCACGCCTCAAAGTCTGTCATAAATCTGAAATTATCAAAAATGGTTCCCATTATTTTGTGGGTATGTAAAACAGTCATTGTTCTTTTCTATACTAAAAAAATTGAATCTTTAATTTTCTCATAATTCTGAATTTATTTTTTAAACATGCAATAGGTATATGTATTTGTAATTATAACTAAGCCAGGAGAAAATTTACATCTAGTACATGTACTGTCATGTATATGTTCATCAGTAAAAACAAACTTGAGCAAATTTATGGTTTCTGAGTTTTCAAATTAAATTTGCATTAAGTATCTTTTATTCAAGAAAAGGCTTCTGTCCAGGAGACACATTCATATCTACACAGTTTATGTGTATGCTTCACTTACTGTTTGAGATATTTGTTTAATTCATCAATGGCCTCTGTCATTTTGTTTTGTGCTTTACATATAGCCACTTTCCTTTTCCTGGCAAACTGAATAAAAGAAATACACATTCTTTCAGGGTACTTCTTCAATACACATTTTGATTACTTCATACACAAGTCGTAATGTAACAAGAGACATGGTGTTTACCATATTTGTTGGGTCGTCTTTGATTATATCATCATACAACTCTCCGGCTTTAATGAACCTGAAATTTTCAAAGGAAAAAGTATCATCCATCTATTTACATTGTATATCTTTGAAATATTGAAATAAAAAAACAATAATCAAGCCCCGAGTCCAATGAAACAATACAAATTTAGAGCAGAACAAACATGGACCTTTATAATCATCATAAGTGGGATCAGGTGCCACATGAAAGTAAACATCCCCTGTCAATCAGTCACACCTGCTATGTCCTCCTTGTCATGACTGGGCAATGTGTTTTATCCTTAGATGAGATTCTGGACCCAAGAAAAAATTTTTACTTTAAAAAATTCATACTTTACCTTTCTTCAGCTTCATATTTCATTCCCAGCAATCTTTTCACCCTCATGGATTTGGGAAATTTAGCTTTAAGGAGTTCTATACAGGTCTGAAATTGAATAAAACATTAAACTATAAATGCAGCAATTGAGAAAGAAATTTCTATATCTATATGAGTAAATTCCAGAAAAAGTCTATCAGAAAATATTAAAATGAGGTTTGAAGTTTACCTACATTGTTAAATTTAATTAAAAGCATGTTAAATGCTATTCAGCATAGTTTTAAATATGCTTTATTCAAGATTTCATCTTTACCTCTGAGATGTCAATCCTTTGACAGTCCAGTGCAGCAATGCAGACTTGTTCATACACTGTCCACACTGAAAGCAGATAACAAAATGTAAATGTTTTAAATTCACTGACATTTTTCACCCAACTCATACATATAACATATTCTGTTTATTAATTCCTCAATTTTGTCGGCTTAAATTTTTTGGATTGGGGATGATTTAGAGTGATTGTTAAATATGTCATTTTGATCTTAATTTTGTATGGTATGGCACTGATAAATCATTTTTTATATACACCAAGGTTTATATTATTAAGCACTTGATTTAGATGATGATTTCCTTTTTACCAATACACTTTGTATATACATGTACATTATTTCTTTTAAAATGAATTTACAAATCAGGTCGACACTAATTTCAGTATCTGTAAATGTACAGCTGCAGTTCCTGATAACTGAACTATGCACTTTTGCAATTTAAATCACAAAAGTTCAGCACATGATGATTAACAGATTTGATTTGTTGCATGATGTTGCATATGATGATACACATTTCAAGTTTACACCTCTATATCTTGTTAAATACAAATGTATAAGTAATACAAGTGTTGTCAAATGGCTGGCTATACATACACTCATCTCCAAGTTTGTTCCTTTCTGCCATAAGGACATCTTCCCAAAGTGAAACAACTGTTTGTCCATCTCTAATCTGGTCCTCTCTCATCCTACGTAGATGATTTCTTGCCTCTGTAAAATTCATGTTTTCATGTATCAAAAAATTCAATTTTAATTCTACCAAATGAAATTCTAGAAAAACCTGTTAAATGATTGTTGTTGATAAATTAAACTTGAAGCTCTGTCTGTTTGATAAATTAGCTTATTTTGGCAAATTGTGGACAAGCTTTTTACACAGTTTTCGCAATGGCCTTAATACTATTAATAGAATAATAATAATAGAATTCCAATAGTTGTTATTAGCAATAATGAGCAGTAAAGCCTATTAGTATTAGCACAATGAACTAAGAACTCAGAATTTTAAGTAACACAGATTCATTTTCTTCTTCATAAAGGATGTCTAATGTCATAACAGTAAGCAGCATGAAGTACCAACCACCAAGAAATATGACAGCCAGAACTAATCTTCGCTAGCCAAGGGTTTCTGATACGCTACTCTCCTCATAATCCCTTGGCATACGGTGTTAATAGAAGTTGGGTTTTTTTCTCGAGTTCTGATTGGGGATTCGGTACATCCGGTCGACCAATCAGCAATTGTTTTTTTTGTCAATGACGATATCTGCGTTCGAGATATATCTTGACTCTTTAGTCTCGGGAATGAAAAAAGGAAGTAAATGATCCGTAAGATAACATGCAATTCTATGAATAGCTATGGTGTCATCCAATATCTTCTAAATATGTGATTAAGAATCCATACTGAAGCTTCAGATTTGTATAATAAATAAACATAACTTAATTATTGCTTCTTAATTATTTCTTTTAAAACTTTGATTTCATTTTGTTTAATGGGCGTCTTTATTTCTGTCGATGATGCAATCTGTGCGTATCTGGTGGATTCATGATCACATGATAAAAACAATCCCATCTTTTGACTACACCGTCACCGTATGCCAAGGGTTCATGAGGAGAGTAGCGTATCAGAAACCCATGGCTAGCAAAAATGGCCAAAACTCAGAACTCGACTTTCAGTATTTAAATTTTTAAGAATTTTTTTGAATTTTCATTACATAAAATACCTTCATCAAGGTATTGGTAATACCTTTATCAAGCTATATACCTTTATCAGGGCATTGTGCTGGACCTGCTATATAAGCAATCACATCACGATCAAAGCATTTGCAAATATCTTTATCTTAATTTTCAAAATTTTAATCTCCTTGTGTTACTGGGTCTGGTTGACTTTAACCGGAGCAAATCCATACACAATGTCAGTATGTGAAAAGATCGCATCTGTCTATCTGGATTGTTTAAGTAACACCAAGACATTAAGTGCTATTGCGGTTAAAATTGGTTGATGTTGTAGATAGTAGCATACATTAGCATGTTCTTGGGTTTGGACAAATATAATATCTGTAAACAACCAAAGAAAGAATAATTTAAGAGTTTCACCTTCCCAAGATACGTGACGCGCCATATTGGATTGCCTGGTTCCCTGCCTCTCATTCTATGAGAAGGCTAAATAGCGAAAACAACATCATAAAAAATGACATATTTCCTTATTCACATTTTTTTGAAAAGTTTATTTATTTCAAAATTACAAAATTAACATCACAATTATCAAACGATATTTATAAACATTTGAAACATTGAAATACGAAGAACTGAAGCACTAAAAAGTTTATTTAAACCGTAATTTATTTGTATTATTAATTAATTAATTAATTTATTTATTGAAAATTTTGTTCTCTCTCTCTCTCTACACACAAAGATGTTATGAGGAGAAATTTAAAAATATCTGATGACCTTTTTTCGAACCTGAATATTTTCAATAAAATATACCGTATTTGTGCTTAGGCCTAATCAAAAACATTTTAGGTTCCTCAATTTTTTTTTTCTAAATTCTCAGTTTTTTTAAAGAATAAATTCAGATGAGATAAATACACCGTTGGATTTTTAATTTAAAAAAATTATTAATTATTCTGTTAAATGCCCTTTATCACTTATGTCATGCGTAAATATATAAACCGGGGAATTTTTGTCTTAACAACTTTGGTTTTTCCATTTATAAACTTCCTGTTGTTCAGTCATGCGCATTGGTCTGTTGTCATAGAAGCAACGAAACTGAGCTCGTACCCAAAACACTGCTGTTGGAATATCGCACTAACCAGACAAAAATGATTCCTCCCAACGCATCATTGGTCAAATATGACAACCCAGTACTGGTCAGTCGAAATACAGATAAAAAGACACCAAGGGTAAGATTTTTTAATAATCGTATGACATTTAGAACAATGTCATTTATCGATAAGAAACTAACAAAAAGTTTTACAAGTGTTTTACCAAAGCAGTATGCACATTTGCTTGAACTGAACGCAGTTATTGAAAAATCATTGACATTTTAACAATATTTTGATATATTATAATGTTATTGATATTCACAATGTTAAATAGAAGGGGGTGGGGTAATATTATTGCTTTTTGTATAATCTAAATAAACAATCATGGTTTGAGTTAGTAATGTATTTAAGTTAAGTTATAGTTGAATGTGGGAAAGCTTGAACACAAAGCATAAACATTTACATCTACGATTGTAGGCAAGGGCTCTCAAAGTTAGCCCTGGACAGCCACAGGCAGGGGGCCCAGTGCCAAACCCCCCAGGGAAACAGAAGATGTCATCTGTGGACGCCAAAGCAGCCCAGCAGACAGATGAAATTCTAAACTCAATTCTTCCTCCCCGGTAAATACAAACATATATCTACACATTAATATTTATAGATAGCTATACTCTCTGTTGTTAAATTGATATATATGGTGGTGAGGACATACACATTAAAATTTGTCCTATATAATCCATACTCAAACAGTTCATAACACTAATATTGATATAATCACCGTCCCACAGACCCGGTTTAATGGTGATGAGGGCATATTACATGTTATTGAGCATTACAATATTGAATTATGTTTTATACAAAGCTACAAAGGTATATAATAAAACAATTATGGACTCTTTTGGTGTTGAATATGGTTTGTTATTCACCAGAAAAATAATTACCATATTATTGAGCATTACATACAAAGTTATTTTTAAAAAAAATTGTTTCATTTTAAAAAAATTTCTTGACAGGGAATGGCAAGAATCAGGCCAACTGTGGGTACAGCAAGTTTCCAGTACACCAGCTACTCGTTTAGATGTTGTCAATCTGCAGGAGGAACTTGACAGAAGGTTACAACAGAGACAAGCTAGAGAAACAGGAATCTGTCCTGTCAGGCGTGAACTCTATTCCCAGTGCTTTGGTAGGGAAAATTAAAAATATGAATACTTTTTAAATTGTGTGAAATACTTTATATGTTGAATAATTTTGTCAATAAATCAAAAATTTCCTGAGTATAGGACTTCAATAATAGCAATATATTTCTTTTGTTTAAGATAGGAAAAGAAAATTACCTATAAAAATTCATAACATTGACAGATATGTACAGATACATTATATCTACTGTAAGTTAGTATATCTACTCTTTTACAGATGAACTTATCCGTCAAGTCACCATCAACTGTGCAGAGAGGGGTCTATTGCTTCTCCGAGTCAGAGATGAAATCAGAATGACAATAGCAGCCTACCAAACCTTATATGAAAGCAGTGTGGCCTTTGGAATGAGGAAAGCCTTGTGGGCAGAACAGGGAAAAGCTGACATGGAGAAGAAGGTAATAATTGATCACAGTCAAATCTCATTATCTCAAACACAACGAGACTGAGAAAAAATTTTGTGATATCAGAGTATTGAGGTATTGCGGGTAAAATACCACTTAGATAAGTGGTTGGGGCATCCAATACACTTTGAGATATCCATATGTGTGGTATATGTGATATCAGTGTTCTAGATGCTCAGAAGTTTAGTTGTACTTATGAATTGCACTCATTCTCAGTCAAGGGTCAGTTTGTCATTTTAAAAAAAAATCCTTATTGCAGATTTCAGATCTCGAGCAGGAAAAGCGAGATTTAGAAAAGCAGGTCAATGAACTGAAGGGTAAATGTGAGCAAATCGAGAAACGTGCCCAGGAGCAGAGAATGGTGGAGGAAAAGAAACACACAGAAGAAATGCAGTTTTTGAAGCGAACAAACCAACAGCTCAAGGTATGAATGGGAACTTTGTTTTTCTTCTCCTCACCACCAAAAAGAAATGTGTTATTTTTTACCAACTATTTCTTAACTTCAAACTTTAAATTTAAAATGAAGGATTTTTTTAAAATTGTGTAAGAACTAAGATTGAATGAACATTTTGAATTTCAGAGTATATTTTACGCAATAGGAGTCCATGAATTACTTCTCTCTTTGTTGATTAAAATTATATAAATATTTTTTTTCATTGTGGCAATTAAATTCTAGACACAAATGAGTATGATAATGGGGGAGGAAAATGAGGAGGTATAGAGTTGTAAGTTAAAATTTGCACAAAACCATGTTGTGAATTGCATGGAAAATAAAAATAATGTCATAAGTTGATATGATATTGAAAAGCAGAGTAATATTTCCATCTGATGTACACAAAAAGGGGTAGACATTTTAAAATATCTTAAGCTAGACTTTGTGGTATTCACAAGATTGTTTATTAGGGACACCAGTAGAATTTTTCTGTAGCATCACAATATCTTTGTAAATTAAATCAATGCTTTTTATTTTTTGTACATAAATGAATGATATTTTTATTATACACCATTGCATGATCACACTTGCTGTTTTTCTAGATATTTAGTAATTAAGTTATTGGTGAATTATCACACTTTACTTTTTTATTGAGAGTACTCCAAGGTAGTATTGTAAAAAGTAAAAGAAGACTTTTGCAACACATTCCACCATCCAAAAAATAGACACATGTACTGAAAATACAATGAACTATGAATTTTAGGTAATTTTCTTTTCCTATCTTAAAGAAAAGAAATATATATTGCTTCAAAAACTGCATTTCCTCTGTGTGTTTCTAGACACCATTCAAATTATACAACTGTATGACAACCAGTTCAACTCTTTGTCAAAATCGATATAGAATTTTCAAAATATTTTAAAACCTTCTAAGTACATCTACCTTAAAGTAAATTTCTTACATAAAAATGTTTTTAAAAATCTTTTACTGCAGCTTTTGTCTTTTTGATAGGATTGCCATAACGGTTAATTTTGGACAACCTTATATTGAGTGTGCTTTGTATTCATTTTGAGTTAAAATCATAATATTTTCTTTTCCAGACTCAATTGGAAGGAATCATTGCTCCAAAGAAGTAATAGGATAAATAGAAAATTCAATGAAGTTTCTGTTCCACATAAAAATTGTATTTTTCTATCATTTCTCTTTTATTGACCAATGTTGATATAACACCTTAGTATGAAAGACATAATTGATTCCAACAATATTGAAAACTTTTGAAATCATATTGGATTATCATTGTTTACGATGTGAAAGCACATTAATAAAAACTTAAAGATTGTTTTGTGATAATGTATATGCTGTATATATTACTAAGACATTATTGTAAAATCATAAATCTTTGTGACATTCCATGATGTTACTGTTTACAAATATAAAATGTATTTAAGGTAAAAAGTTTCTTATTGTTTTTCCATCTTTAAATGAAAAGGAGAGAAAAAAAACTTATATGGAAGAAGCTGAAAAAAAAATTTTCAATATTTATATACTCTATAACATAAAATGTTGCCTTCCATGTTTTTTATCAATTTAAACATTTTATCATGAATTTATCCTGAATTTAAATTTAACACATTGGGTATAAAAATTGGAGATGATATGACAAGTATCAAATATATATGATTCTGTAACCACTCGTTTCAATCAATAAATTTCGGTCTTCATTCAGAATCAAAAAGGCCACATGTAACAATTTTTCATCTTCGTTAGCTAAATGATTCTTGCGAGGAGAGAAGCATATCAGAAACCATTGACAAGTTTTGACATTCAGTGTTCTCCAAATTTAACAAAAATTAAAAAAAAAAAACTTTTTTTGTTTCTTTTAATGTTCATGGCATGGTTTAATACTGAAAGATAATACTAGTAATAGGAGCTGGGTAACGAACGTAACTTACATACATGTTATATAAATTACACACAGACAGCTAGACAGATGGACGGACCAGGCAAAAACTATATACCCTCCGAATCTTTGATTATGGGGGACATGAAAAAAAACTTCAATATATAGCTTACTCTCTCTCTCTCTCAGTATGGTGATTTAGCCATCCTAGAAGAATTTAACATGGAGTAGTTATTTGCCTCATCATTACATTGTCTGAAAAAAAAATCACATTTCACCTGTTTTATTATATGATTAATGGATTGATAAAAATTATATGAAGCAAATTTACTTTTTTCTGAAATGTTTTCAATCCTTGAATTCCTTGCCAAAAATTTGTGGGTGGGGGTGGTTGGTTTGGTTCCCATGCGCGGATCTAGAAAGGGGATCGGGGGGAGGGGTCCCCCTGGAATTTGCAGTTAATAAATGTGTACACTAAATTAAGTAAAAGTTACCTTGGACCCCCTAGAAAACAGACTCCTCCCCCAAAACGCATAAAATCAACCGCCCCCCCCCCCCCCACCTTTTGCCTTCTCCAATTGTGAAAAAAAAATTCTCGGTTGGGATATTTTTTTTTTACTGAGATGACCTCCCTTAGATCGGCGCCTGGGTTCCAGCTTCTCTCAATACCAATTGTATTTATACACTACATGACCCTTATTTACCCTTGTACTTGAATATGCAGCAACAAAAATATGCATACCGGCCACAGGTGCTTGTGAACAGGACCCCTCCCCCCCCCCCTCTCAATATACAGTTTTTATCCAAAGAAGTTTTTCCTTTTAACATAAATTTATCTTCTAATGCACATTTACAATGTATACCATATGAAAAATCCCGGGACCCGGGGCTTATATTCGGGGGTGGGAGGGGGGGGGGAGCTGTCCACAAGCACCTGTGATACCGGCATTTCAATGAACATTTTCAATTGTAAACTTCTGTTCGAAAAAAAAAGTGGGGGTAGGGTTAGTCCATTTTATATACTGGTCAGAGACCAGAAGAGCTTATGCGATAGTAATGCGTCCGGCGTTCCGTCTGTCTGTCCGTCTGTGAAACAATTTTTCAAAATGCTACTCCTCCTACAGTTTTAGGTCTATTTGAATATAACTTGGCACACAAGTAGACTACACTAAGATACATAATTCTTTGCATCGGTTTTTGATTTCGATGAACGGTGTTGCCATGGTTACTAAAAATAGAAATTTCTTTGAAATTCTTTCAAAATGCTACTCCTCCTATAGATTTGGTCCAACTTCAATATAACTTGGCACACAAGTAGACTACACTAAGATACATAATTCTGTGCATCGGTTTTTGATTTCGATGAACGGTGTTGCCATGGTTACTAAAAATAGAAATTTCTTTGAAAATCTTACAAATTGCTACACCTCCTACAGATTTGGTCTGATTTCTGTGTAACTTGGCACACAAGTAGACTTCACTAAGATACATAATTCTGTGCATCGGTTTTTGATTTCGATGAACGGTGTTGCCATGTTTACTAAAAAAAGAAATTTCTGTGAAATTCTTTCAAAATGCTACTCCTTCTACAGTTTTGGTCTGATTTCAATATAACTTGGCACACAAGTAGACTACACTAAGATACATAATTCTGTGCATCGGTTTTTGCTTTGATGAGTGGCAAGAATCATATTTCTATTAATTGCTGTTTTTAAAGTTTCGAGTCGCAACTGCTACTTTTCTCTTCCTTTGTTTTAAGTATAAACCAGTAGAGCTACAGTCTCGACAGAGACTTCTGGTTTATAGTAATATTAGTAAATCGAATACATATTATTTTCACCTGGAAAACCTTTTGTAGGTGAATGGGAAATTCTAGTAAATGGGAATTTTTTAAAAATAAGTTGAAATATAAAAGGACTATCTCAATATTCTGCGTGTACATAAAAGCTTGGCTTGATTAACATTTATTACATTTATTACAAAGATATGGGGAAAAGTTTTTTCAGACAAAATGTTTCGGTTTGATGGTTTTCATAATCTATGATTATTGCAGAATGAAGTACAAATGATTTTGCCATTTTTGACCGGATGATTGAAAACAAGTGATTTAATTGTTTGCAAACAGTCTAAAAAGTTTTATGATCAATTTTCATTGAAGTAAATCTAGTCCTCAAGAAACATTGCCATAGTCACCAACAGTAGATGCAAAAGCATTGGTTGAAATAATTACGGAAACCAGAAAACATACTCGTATAAATCAATTGATTTGAATTTAACAAATTGGATGGGGTGCACAGGTTCTTGTAAAAAAAAAGTTTAAATGACAGAAAAAATCACAATAAATAATTTGATATGAGTTAATTAGTAAAAAAAAAACCCTCTCAATTTCACAAGTTTTGATGAATAAAAGATTCAATTGCAACGTGGAATTCGTTTTCAGTAGATACTACCTACTGTTAACTAATTTAACTAAATCAATTAAATGAATAAATCTCATTTATATTTTTTTTTTCAAATTAATACCCAAAAATATAATTATGGTCAAAATGCCACATTTTTCTTTATTAATTCATTATCATGATTTTTTAATTTATCTCGTCAATGTTTTTCATATTTCTTTGCATCCTCACTATAGTGTTCGCTTTGCTATCTTACACTTGTAACACTAGGACTTGTGCTAAATTGTTTTGTCATGCAATCTCTACAGTTACATGTAATATAGATCAAATATGGTGAGATTTGGAATGACCTAATCAGTAATCAAGATGATGAGATTTATTTAATTAATTTAGTTAATTAAAGATTAAAGATGCACATTACAAAACAATCTTGTGGGTTCTCTCTCTCTCTCTCTCTCTCTCTCTCTCTCTCTCTCTCTCTCTGACGATGAAAATTTCCCTTATACAGATTTCATTGAGAGTTGATTGTATGTTTTCATTTTATAATAATCATTATTTATTTAGATTTGAAGGATTTTTAAATTGCAATATATTCATGTTTTGTCCTGCCAGTCTCTCTGGATTAAAACTATGCTGCATATTTATGAAAATGTATAAGTATCTTGACTTCAATTTTAAAAACCAATGACTATGTAGCGACACAACGAATGTTTCAAACTTTGGAAAGGCCTCATACTTGTTTGCGACAAATAAGTATTTACTCCAGAAATTACATATATTTTTTTCTTTTATTCTTTTTTTTCAAATTAACAAATTTTCTTTTTTTTTGTATTGCAGTTCGTAACATTTTGTGATAGGCGCTAAAGAAGATAAATATTAAATTCTAAATTTATCTAAAGTGCTTCTCGTTCTTCCACGTTGCAGCATCCCAAGTGCGTATCAAGTTACTGCCACGCACATGGAATATTTACACCAATGATGAATAACATAAGAACGTCAGTAGGAAACCCACTAGCCACGTTGGAAGGAATTGATTGGATAATTTAGGTCATGTGACATTGCCTTACATTTTCATTGGATAATGTGTAAGTGCAACAGAGGTTATTCATTTTGACACGTTTAGTAAGTATTTATTCCCACTGAAACTGTTGTGTATTGATTTTTTTGCTAGTGTTGTTGAATTCACAGGTAATTGATAGGCGTCTTTTACCTCAGCTTGTTATAAGGTGCACTGTAAAGACATCAAGGTAATAACTTTTCTTTTATGATTTGGTGACAGCGATGCTTTGGGTAATATGAGATACCGCAGCTCAGCAGGTTTTTGTGCATGCTGAATATATTACCTTGATTTTACTTGGTTTATGTACATTTACAAATATAATCAGAGAGCTTTCCTTTATTATTCTATTATTTTTCATTTGATTACCGAGAAGCTCAAATGAGTTAACTAAGAAAATATTATGAATGCCGGTATGTGCATCCCGATCCCGATGCATATAGGGTGCATTTAATTTTGTCAATATGAGATAATCCTTTCATGGGACTCATTGATGTGGACTTTATTACTCGAATGATTTGAATTGTAAATTAAAAAGCTCTGAGAGATTATAGAGAATTAGAAATCCCCTATATTGAACAATAAAAGAAAATGGGTTGCGTATTTTATGGTACTGCAGGGGCATAGGTATTTCATTTGAATGAAAATTATATAAGCAAGTTTTTTAGATATTACTTAGAGTCAGATATAAATTGTACCCTAATGCAATTAAATTTAAAATGTTCTTGTTTTAAATTAGTCTTTTAAAATTTATTAAAATTTCTTCTCATGTTTTAATGTAAGTTGAAATATATTTATCCCTCAACTACAAAAAATAAATAATTTGATCCTTACATGGAACAAAACATGAAACACTTCTCTAAACTTTCTAAGAAGCAAAATAATAAGGATTTGAAACTATAGTATAACTTTAAGTAACTTAACCTAAATCTTAAGGAAGGATTACAGAAAAAAGGGGTGAATAAAAAATTTAAACAAATTAGGTAACATACATGTACTACATATGGAATTCCAGTCATCTCTTTAGCCCATGAGAAATATCTTTAGTAGGACTTTTTTTTTTTTTTTTTTTTTTTACATTTCCTAACTATGATTATACATGTATTGAATGTTGATTCACAATTTTCAAGGAAGTTGGCATACATTAATTTACTAGAAATTCTTGTGCAATATAGTACGTATGCTATCTAAACCAGTTCTTCTCCACATAAATTGTTACAACATGGGCTTTGTAATTAAATGTATAATATTTCCTATCATCCATTCATTCTGTTGTCATACACTTGGTTTGGATCATCATTACGGGAGTATAAACCATAGTATGATCTTTGGGATGTATGTTTTACACGTTGCAACCACCTGTGACTTATGTGGGTATAATTATACTGTGTGCCTTGCATTGTTATCTTGTTTGCCGGGGAGTTTTGTCAAATATCATGCTTCAGCAGCTGTCATTGTCTGTCACGAAATGTTACAATTGTCACAGATATTTGTAATGAGTATGGGTATGTTCAAAATTGAGGAAACCGTTTGATATTTTATTGATCGGATGTTATTTACTGTACTTTTGTGTACTTAGTAAAATCAGCAAAGGCCTAACAACAATATAAAATATTGATATCATTTCTATTTTGAGAAATATATTGATATTAATTACAAATTGAGGCAAATATTGCATGAATAGGATTTCATAGTAAATTTCTCGAACATTTAGCATCTGTTGCTTATTAGAAAATTACAAAGATTGAAAAAAAAAAATGAATTCATTTTTTTTTTCTTTGTAGATGAAAAAATCCATCAGTATGAAGTTAATCGAGATCTATTTGATCCTTGCACTTATTGTTATCACATATTCATCTGCCATTCCTAAACCCGGTGAAGACAAGAAGAATAGAGTTCATGAACAGGTAATACATTTATAGGCGTAGTCTTTGTAAAATTGATACTGAACTTAAAGATACTTTTGTAACAAAAAAATTGTATGCATTTCTTTTGGTGTCATGAGCAGTTTGTTTCATAAAATTGATATCAGATTTGAATATTCATCACAGTGTGAAATATGGCTGAAGGGTAAAATCTTTTGAAGGAGATTTAGATTTGAGTCGATGATAAATTACTAGTATGTAAAAGAATGCAAATTTTATTGATGTTAGATATTTTTCATTTATAAATGAAATCTTTTGATTATTCGGTATATACGAGGGTTGTCCCGTAAAATCGTGGACAAGTTGTCTAGTGTGAAAAATAAACATCACTGCGTTCTGAAATTTTCACTATTATTTAGTACATATTTTAGTAATATACACAGCAAATTTCAGTGTGAAATATCGCTTTAAGCAAAATCTTTTGACGGAGATTTAGATTTAAGATGATGATAAATTACTTGTATGTAAAAGAATGCAAATTTTATTGATGTTAGATATTTTTCATTTATAAATCTTTTGATTTTTCTGTTCTCCGGTGCGCCGTAGTATATGTGTGTTGTGTTTAAATCATTGAAAAATTAAGCATTTAAAATTTTTACAAAGTAAATATTGATAGATAACTTTTTATTGCTTTGATTTTAATACCATTTAATACCCATTTACATTGACAGTTTTAAGTTTTTGTTTAGTAATCTAGTGAACTGCACTATACAGTTTATTATTTTTTCTTGCATATTTAATAATTTTTCTGTGTTTGCCATGAATACAATTTTTTATAATTTTTTTTGTAGAAACTGAGTGAAGCTGAACATGAACACGAAGGTGAACACAATGCAGATTACGACCATGAAGCCTTCCTCGGTAAAGACGAGGCCAAAACATTTGATCAGCTGACACCTGAGGAGAGCAAGGAAAGATTAGGGTAAGGGGGAAAAAAATACACAATGTTACAGAATTTCATATAGATTTGTAGAGTGGTAGGCCATATGTTTTCCACCCAAAAATACTTGTTGAAATTGAATTAATAGAGAGAGAAAACATGGATTATCTGAGATGAATAGCAATCTCAATGATATTGATATTAAAAAAAAAAAAGGTATAAAAATTTGTTGGTTATACACACAGATTGCTACTTTGTGATTAATGCATGCATTAATTATATATATAAATGATATTGTTAAGCTTATGTACTTGTGGTAAATAAATTGTGTTCATGAAGTAAAGAACACTAATATATTAGATGAACTTTCTTAATAAATTCAGAATAATTTTCCATCTGATCAAAAATGGATTATATTCATATAATTACTTTATAGTGTTCCTGAGTAAAGCTTCTCCTGTGAAAATTTCCCTGTGAAAAAATATTCAAATCATTGTGCTTTATTGCTGTAGAATTATAGTTGGGAAGATAGACAAGGACGGAGATGGGAAGATCACAGAGCAGGAACTGAAGGACTGGATCCAGTACGTCCAGAAACGTTACATCATCACGGACACAGACAGGATGTGGAAAGACCATGATGTGGAGGCGGATAAACTCTCCTGGGCTTCCTATAAAAAGAGAACATATGGATCAGAGGACGGTAGGGAATTGTACCTTACCACATGATGTTTATTTTGTATAATGGGGGTAATCATTATGATTGAAAAGTTTTTTCTCTGATTTGACTTGAGAAATTTTAAGTAGCTTTCTGTAATTTTTTTTTCCCCTATGATGCAAGACAAAATGAAATGCGAACATGAAAATGTTTATTTTGAAATTCAAGTTGATAACAGGTAGTGTTATCACCATCAAAAAAGTGGTAATCTGTATGCAATTTTTTTGCATCCAACTAAAATCAGGCTTCCTGATATTGGTTCCATAAGTTTTTAGTATCATTCTGCACACCTTGGTGGATTTGTACCTCATCATTGGTACAGGCTACAGAATCATTCAAGATTGGCCAAATGTTTTGATATTTGAATTGACAAGAGATGACTTTTCTTTGACAGATCCCACTGATGAGGATTCCTCCACATTCAGTTACAAAGATATGATAGAGAGAGATGAGAGGAGGTGGAAGGCGGCGGATAAGGATGGAGACGGCTTCCTCAATAAAGAGGAGTTCGCTGACTTCCTCCACCCCGAAGAGGCGGAGCATATGAGAGACATTGTTGTCAAGGTAATCAATATTAAACGTAAAAGCAGAAATATACATTAGGGATTAAATTTCATTTATTTTGTTGTTGATAATTATCAACAAAAGTAAATTCTTAATAGGGTTACTTTCAAAACTAAAATTAAATGCCCAAGAAACCTTGAGGGATGAAAAACCAATAATCTAATTTCTACAAAAGTTTTCCTTCTACACTCTACAGTATCATTTTCTCTTGCTTAGATTTATGTAATATTCATATATAATTTACAGAAATTTGCAGATTAGTTTTTTTTTGGAGGGGGGGGGGGGAACGTTTAAACTTTTCTTGAGATATGTTTATAAATGATATTTTTATGAGAAACAATCTAGTAAAGGAAATTGTTTACTTTTTACAGGAAACAATGGAGGACATTGACAAAGATAAGGATGGATTTATCAGTCTAGAAGAATATATAGGTAACAGAAGTTTATTTTCAGTTTTACTTTGAATAAATAAGTTCAAATTACAAATCTTCAAATATTTTGATGCTCAAATTTGAAATTCTACTGACCCTAAATTGATCTTTATAAAAAAAAATAACTAAATGAATAGATACAATCGTTTGAAAAACCAGAAATTAAAGAAGTGGATGTATGAATACTCATCAAAAGCAATTGGTCAGACTCCTATGTAATTTTCTATATTAAGTAAATTGCAAAATTATTTTGCCGAGTTGAAGTTTTGACCACAGCTGTTTACTGTTATCTGTCATTGAAATTTGTTGATATCTAAGGTGAGGCAAATGGAATAAACTGGGTAAAGAATTTCTGTATAGAGTTTCTCTTGTGGTAAAAAAGTAGGAGAAAATTTACTAGTTGTTGACAATGTCCTGGCTTTTGTTAGCTGATATTTACGATGAGGAGGATGATGACCCAGATACCGTCCAAGACGAGGAAAACCTCCATGCGGGAACCCCCGACTGGGTCCAGAGTGAGAAGGACCAGTTTGTTAACCACCGGGACAAAAACATGGATGGCAAACTGGACGCGGAGGAGGTCAAGGCCTGGGTCATCCCCGAGGATTACGACCACAGCTCAGCGGAGGCCCTGCATCTGGTCAATGCCTGCGACGACGACAAGGTGGGACATCATTTCATATCTCATCCATTAATCGCAAGTTTTTGAAAATTTCAGGAGACATGTGGCCCGACAAAAATGAGGAAGAACCTGACTGGGTCAAAACTGAACGCGAAACGTTCGCGTCTCAGAGAGATAAAAACGGAGACGGCAAAATGGATCTCGAGGAAGTTAAAAATTGGATTATTCCCCCCGATTATGATCACTCTGAAGCTGAAGCTAAACACCTCATTAGCGAGTCAGATTCTAATAAGGTGTGTACTCACTTTCGACTCGGTTGGGGGATTATTGGAATTTATTGTTATTTTTTGTTTTTATTTTTTATTACCTCCCTTTGATGGAGTTTGGTACTTCTGTTTTATTTATATCAGTTAGCTGAATTTTTTTTCTTCATCGTTGTTAATAAGCAGTCTAGCCGATAAAAAAAATTAATTCATGAAAACAATGTTACCCTATTAATTATTCAATAATTACGGTAACTTTGAAATCTCTGAAGTCCGGATCTAAAATTTCTGTGCTTTTCATTTCATGTATAAAATATATATAAATTTCTTTGATTTAAAATGTCAGCGTAGGCTTCTCTGTGATCAGAACAACTGTTTTCATTTAATCGTAGTCAAAGACGTTTAGTCAATAAACATTATCAGTGAGCATTTGTAATGTAAATTGTAGTCCTGGTTCTTATAAGCATTTCCTTGCACCTTCATTTGCATGCTTCCATAAAATATTGAATATTGTCAAGATCACTGCATGCAAATAATTTTTGTTTCACTGTTACTCTTAGACTTCTTACATATATACACATGATAGATATTAGAAAAGTCTTAATTATGTGCATATATTTCATGTAACTATATGTTTCCCTTTTTCTGATTGGTTCACATGCTAAAAATTGCATTTGATTTTGAAAATTTTAATTTTTCAAACATCTTTTGTTAAAAATTTAGATTTAATGTTAAAATATGTAAAAAAAAAAAAAAAAAAAAAAAATATATCCATGCATGGGTCAAAGAGCAGAATCAGAAAGGGGAAACAAGGTTTTTGTTTATATCTTGTATACTTGTAAATATGGATATTTTTAGAAATGGTATCAAAGGCAATTTTTTGCAGCTATGCAATTTGTACAATGCTTAGCATGTTTAGCAGATCAAACATAATTGAAAGATAAAACAGCTAGATAAAAAATTCAAGCTGCACAAAAAAACCTTCTGAAAAGCATGAACTTAGCTTAATTATTATGATCTGAAAAAAAAATGATTTCTATATCTCTTTCTTTTACAGGATGGCAAATTATCAAAGGATGAAATCCTTGAACACTACGACCTGTTTGTGGGCAGTCAGGCGACAGACTTTGGGGAAGCTCTCACAAGACATGACGAGTTTTAAAAACGTGAAACTGTAGTTCATCTTGTGCAATTGCACTGACAATTTTAGCATTTTTTTCATCAGGTTATGTTTGTCCAGTTAAAAGTGTAAATTACCTGTCAAAAGATTGAAAGTGTGAATTTTCTTTCACAAATTAAGTGGATTTGTAAGGATTTTTAAAGTAAGAAATGTTTGACATGTATACTGAACCTGTACAATCAACTGTAAGAAAATTCGTTGTAATGCTTGTAGTTAACAATCAGGGTTTTGAATGTGCTTGATAAAGAAATACTGTCACTTGCTTTCCAATATGCCTTTGAGCTTTGATAAAGGAATACTCTCAAATCATTGAATAGTCCCTTAAAGATTTAGAATGTAAGCTTTCTCTCTTTTAATAGGTTCTATACAATAAAAGTGAAAACCAAATGTGGTCGTGTATATGTTTGTGCATGTTTATACTTGTGACAATTTAGTATTTGAGCAGATGCCTTATTGTGTAAATAGCTTCTAGTGTACAGGTGAAATGTCTTTTTTCCCCCCACATGGTTAATGGTAGTTTTTATATTTTGCTATAATACAAAAATGCTTCCCATGATTTTTCCAATGTTTGTTTTATTGTCATCCAGTATTAATTTTACTGGAGTTTTTGTTAGGATTACTATTTGTGTACCCATGTACATGTATTATCAATTTTTGATTAATAGACGTAAATCAAACCTTTTCCTCACAAAAGAGATAAGTCATTACTGAACATCATGTCGTATGAATTTTAAGGATTTTGATTGTAGATGGAAATGGAATAGGGAGTTGCTTAAAAATGCATTATGCTTCAAACCAAAAAAAAATTAATTAAACAATTTGATCTTTCATCATTTGGTCATAAGTAACTTATTAATGTTTGTTATTTTTGAAAGAAGTATTTAAATTAAAAATAAAACGTGTAATATACTTGAATTGATTTAGAGAAAAAACATAATTCAGTAGAATTGTAGCATATTTGCAACCGATTATCGACAAACTGCCGGATTAATTGGTCAAGAGATTACCAGTTTTCATCCCAAATGTACCAGTATGCTTCAATACATTCAATGCCATTAATATGTATCATGTATTTAAAAGATCTGAAAGGTTCACAAGAATGCATGCTCTAATTTTGAATGTTTTAAAGTCATATAAACAAGCTTTATTTACACTAGTGCAAATATTGAAAGTTTACTGTAGATGCCAAATATTGTACTGTTATGAATACTATGTATTTTATTTTATTTTTTAGCTCTGGAAAGGTATTTTGTGTAAACAAACATGTGTAAAAGCAGCTTTTCACTTTTGAATTGATGTGTGTAGGCATTTAATGAAGTACTGAAAATAATGTACATGTTACAAAAGTGTGATGCAGGATTATTTCAATGTGTTAACTTAGAATTAAGAATTTTCTTACAATGGGAAGTGCAAATATTTTGAAAAAAAAAAAATGATTCAATGGAGGTAATAATTTGGCAAAATATTTTATATTGAAATATTCAGAGAGCTTATTACTGCGTAATTTTTTTTTTTATTTCACAAAATTAAATTATTTTTTGTGCCAGATATGAATTACTTTTAAAACTCTGTATGTGGTGAGAATCTTTCATATTTTTTAAAGTCCCTTCTCCATCATTTATGTCTATTCATGTTAATTTATGAACAAAAGATTTTTTGCATAATTTAGTCAGGCAAATTTGACTCTTCATCTAAGTACATTGTTTTTTTATGTTAGAAAGGTTGTAGAAAGTGTCTCAAATTATTTTATTTTTTAAGTGCTTGCCAGTATATTAATGCCATTTCAGAAAGCAGTGAGCAAATAATGATTTTAACCCTCAAAAGGTTGGATTGAAATTTAGTCGAAATATAATGCATTCATTTTTTTTTCTCTTCGAGATGTTATTTGATGGAATATTCTGCAATAAAAGCTGGATATTTGTTTAAGTTTAATACATGCTTTAGTTTTTATTTGCTTGTTTGATATAATTGTCATGAGAGGACAAGTCCTTTACATGAACTTCACAATTTCTACATATAATGTTTTCCAACTCGGCTTCAGTTATACAGATTTGATGAACTGAATTCACAAGCATCACTAAATGCCAATAAGAGGTACTGAAAGCACAGAGCTCACAAACTGATACACCGACTATTACATATTAAGCACAGTGACTTGGTCCATTAATTGGCTATTATGAAGACCAGATGGCTATCTGATCAAAATATGAAGTAGGAGGTGCACAATGACACTGTTTAAATGTTAAAGTATCATTGAATTTTATCCAAAGACGTTAATGTAATATAACAACCAAGCTCTATGATAAACGTGATGACTTTAACTTTTCATTCATCAACTTCCCTTACTTATGCAGCAATATACCTACATAACTTGCATATGGAGTTTATATATCTCAGTTGATTCGATACGCAAGAGCATGCTCTATGTATGAACAAATTTTAATTAGTTTTCTTAGGTAAGACAAGTTTTGAAGAGAGTTGTAATTACCTCATTTAATAATTCAAACAAGATGCCGGCAAAGACATTTGTAGATTGGAAGTATTTGATCGCGAGATAAATCGGGGGCTGAAAGTATAACGAAAACAATTATAAATGTTGTGGAACATTGAAAATTCATTTGTCTTCTTCATTTGTTTTAATTATTATCTTCATTCTAAAATCAAAATTCTTTGAAGATTGTGCGTGTATGTGTTTTCAAGTTTATAAATAAAGTTTACATAGAGTATAATTATATGTTTTATTACTACCAACGTGTAAAGGATGAGATAAATAATAGATATGAAAACTATAAACGATAAATTATCCGAGTAACCGGGTACTCGATCGGAAGATTAAGCGAATAACCGATTACTAATATCGTCCGATTTGACAACACTAGCAAAAAGTCAATGATTTGTTCTGGGAGACCTAAAATAAGTGTCAAATAAAAAATAAAGTAGGAGGTGTACAATGACATGTAATAAAAAAAATCTTTGAAGGTATCATGAAATTTTCTTCAATGGTAAAGGAGGAGTTCCGGACAAGCAATGGGTATACTAGTACTCTTTAATATTAAAATATTATAGAAAGAATGTCAGTGTCCATGTTTTGCTATTGGAAGCCTAATATATATGTTTGATCAAAAAGTAAAATAGGAGGTCACAAGGTTAACAAATATTCAGGTGTATCATTTAATTTTATTCAGTGTAAATGTGAGTTGAATTGCGGATAACGCATGTGTATCCCAAAGTGTAACAGACAGACGGACATCCCGATCAATACATATACCCTTCAATTTTCAAGCTGGGGTATAATGAGAGAAAATCTCCTGGCAATGCAATATAGGCTCGGGATAGGGAAGTTGCACACTTTTTATATCCCCGCTCCCCGCTTGTAGAGTGAAAGTACATAGAAATGTCTGTCTCCGTCCGTCTGTTACGCTATGGTTCCCATCTCTTATCCGCAACTCCTCTTATACCACTGAATAAAATTTAATGAGATTTTCACAGAATCTTTGTTATACAGTGTCATTTATTGTACACTTCCTATTTAATAACCATTCTCTGTAACCACTTAAACTTCGTTGCCACGCATGGTCACCGATTTTGATGAAACTTCATCCTATGCTTTAGTAATTGACACCAGAAACAAATATATTAAAAAAATTTCGTTGCTACGTGTTCTCGGTTGCTATGGCAACAGCCGGAAAAGTTTGAAAAATCAAAGCATTTAAGCCACTTTAAATCTTGACTGTGGCTTATAAAAACTAGAAAAAGCAAACAAACCATTCTCACAAAAACATGACACCTTGATGTTACTTATATTGTAAAGAAACTGTTTAGAATATATCTCTGTAAGTGGTAACCAAGAGACATTTGGAATACATTTAAAATGCTGAAATATGCTGAAAAACACTCCATATTCACTAATGGTAGGTGTTACATGCTCAAACTCAATCAACGACTTAAGAAAAACAATGAAAATGTTTGACCTTAAGTATATAAGTATAAGCAATATTATTCTATAAATAACTTTTATAGTTGCCATGGTAACATAGTGTAACCATGCAAAACCAGTAACTAAGATTGGGTTAATGTTACTGTCTTGAGGAAAAACATGAAAATTTAAGACTGGCAAATATACATCCTTAGGACCTTGCAACACCAAAACCATAAGAAATATTGGGTATAATTGCTACTTTGCAGTGTTACCATGGAAACAAAGTACCAGTGCTTAAAAGTGAATTATCATTCGCTGCATTAAGAATCGAATTGCCATATAATCAAGAAACAAATTAAAGGACTCAGCTTGAATAGTACTTTATCTGTTAGAAAAGTTGAATATCATATATTGATAAAACTTGTTGAAAACAACACTGTTGCTATGGTTACCAAGCGGGAAAATGTTGATTTTGTGAACTTCATATCAATATTAAAAAGGTTTTACCCTGTGTGCCAGCTTCTTGCATCCAGTTAGAGATTGGATGATAGTCAAAATTAAAAGTCAGGTTAGCTGTTAATAAATATCAATCATAAAAGTTTTGGGAATCTACATTTGAGGGTACGTATCCAAGGTAACAAAATATTTTTCAGATTTTTAAGCATATTTTTCTGCTTATTTCCATTTTCATTTCCTATTTAAAGAATCCGATCTAAATTTTTTTAAATGGAAAATAAGGACCACACCAACATCTTTAAAAATTTTATTTATATATATTAAATTCTTTCCTAAATTAATAAATCTAGATTTAAACATAAAATCAAAAATCATGGATAATGAGATCTCTTGACATAAAAACCTAATGAACCATTGGAAAAACCAATGTATTTGAATGCTAATTTGCAATGGTATATGTTTCAAGGCTCTTTTCTGGTGCTATTATTTGATAACATTTCATCCTATAAGAGAAATTTTATTTTTATGTAATTACTTTATAAAATTCAATGAACATTTTTTTTACTTTTTAATAATTTGTTACCATAGTAAATTATGTAATAGTTGATTTGCAGACCTGTTATATGCATTTGAAGCGCAGGCCTACAATTTTACTGAAAAAAATATTTCAATAAAGAAAATTATTGCATGTATTTACTGCATAATGTTAATTACATGTGGCTTCATACAACATTGAAAAAATGTCATTTTTTAAACTTTAAAAACCAATGATACACATGGTAACTATAACACATAGCAAACCTAATTTGTGATACTTGTTAAGGGTATTAAATACTTTTATCATAGAGAGTTTATTGAAAATTTAACCGCCATTTCGTATTTCAGCTGTAATATATAAAATTTAAACGTCATTATCAGAGAACCGGCTCTTAACTTTTTATCTAGAAATACTTCATATATTTAGGGTTTCCCTAGCAAAAAGTCAATTTTGCTCTATAAAATAAGAGTCAGATAAAAAATAAAGTAGGAGGTGCACAATGACATGTAATAAAAAAAATCTTTGAAGGTATCATGAAATTTTCTTCATGGTAAATTTTGCATTTACCTCCCAAGCAATGGGTATACTAGTCTCTTTAATTTTAAAATATTATAGAAAGAATGTCAGTGTCTATGTTTCTCTTTGGAAGCACTGAAGAATATGTAATTGAAAAAAGTAAAATAGACTTATTATTACATAATGCATTGTGACCTCCTATAATTTACTTTTTGATCTGACAATTATAAGGCATGTGTACCCCAAAGTGTAAAACATGAACTTTGTAATTATATACCATATTTTCAGGCTGGGGTATCATTTAATGAGCAAAATATCTGGCAACGCAATATAGCTTTTTTTTTGAAATAAGAAATAAAAGCAGTAAGTCTTCACTTTATATTTATGTTTGAAATGGGACTTGATTAAATGGTACCACTATGTACAAGAGTCGTACAAAAATTTTATCCGCAACTCCTCTTGAAACAACTTTAAAAATTAATGAGATTTTCACCTTCTGTTGTTGCACTTGAAATTGTACACTTGCTATATAACTTTTTATCAACTACCTATATTTTGGGTTTCCCTTAAAAACATTAACAGGAATTTTCATAAAATGCACCTAGCACCTAGCTACTACTTTACATTCTCAAACCACTGAAGAAAATTTAATGAAACTTTCATAAACTCTTTATTACGTAATGTCATTGTGACCTCCTTTATGTTACTTTTTGATCTGACAATTATTTCGGGTTTACCAGAGCAAAACATGAACTTTGTCATTATAATCATATGGGAGGCTATCATTTAACATTTTTATTACTTTTTTTTAAATAGGAAATGAAAGCAGCAAGTCTTCACTTTATATTGATGTTTGAAATGGGACTTGATTAGATGGTACCACTATTTAATGGTAGCGTGAACCTATCGTACAAAAATTTCATTGTACCCCGCTTGCTAGCAGGATTTAAAGTGGTGGTGTGGCCTTCTGTCTGTTGTACTTGAAATTACTCATATATTATTAACAACTCCACCTATACCACTGAATAAAATTTAAGGACATTTTCATAAAATCTTTTTTTTACATTTTGATCAGACACCTTCCTCACCTAGCAAAACTTTACATTTTGGCATTATACTCCTTATACTAGTATTGTTGGAATGTACTTTTATGAACACTTTCGTTCTCGAGAGGGATAATGAAGTAAGAAATTGATGGATTATCTTTCCAGCTATCATCTCACCATAAACTACTAAAAGAATTGATTTAATTTAATTGGTTAAGCTTTGGGACTGTTGGCTTGAATCCGATGCTGAACGCTATTCCATCGTTTGTCTTCTAGCTATAATGTCTTGTCTTTTTGACAGTTTTGAAATCCTTTCTTTTACCTGATTAAACAAAATGTTTACCATGCAAGGCTAAAGGCTTATTATATATAATAATTTAAAATGGGATTGTCGAAATCCTTTAAACACCAACGTATTTGTCAGAAGCTTGCTTTAATTTCATTTAAATATCTTTAATATCGTAGCATATGCTCTTCAATGTCTTGAATCTATTAGAGATCATCTGCAGGTGATGATGGAATATTAATTTCTAAATAATGAAAGTACGTTGACGATTGAAAAGCTGAAGGACACATATATTAGTAGATAGGTCCTTGGTTCGCCATAACGTTATTAGATTGCCATTATCGTCTTTAGTCAGTAAAACACTCAAATATAAAACAGATGTGACAGGCCCTGAAGTGAATTTTATTTCGAACTCACAGCTAGGCAATTACCGAATTGAAATAAAAGTTAAATTAACGATTGTTAATTGATAAAATGTCGTCGATGTATCAAAGTGTTGAATTAAAGACCATAACAAGTTTGTTTCCTTCTCTTGTAGCAAATTTGAATCAATTATACTTATAGGAAAAGGATAATAGGTTGGCTAATAAAAGAGTACAGTTAAGTCCTTGAGAATTCCAACAAGTTGTAGGAAGACCTGGCCCCGAGGTTATAAAACTTTGGGGCCTGGTCGCCACCTTTACATAGATAGAAACTCAGAAAGGAGATGGGTGAACAAGACGAGAGATAAGCCCATAGCGCAACAAACATGAAGGTGAAAAATTAAATCTGAATTATATCAAAATTTTCCTTAATATTTCATCTACCATTAAAGTATACTTTATGTAAAATCTCTACAACTTGCACAAATCTCATGAAGGTTGAACTTATTTGTCTATGAAGTACTGTACACACGAAAGAGGACAAAACGAGGAATTTTTTCACACTATAACACTATTTTTCGATATGAGTGGGTCTTCTCTTCATTTTTTTTTTTGAAAGTTAATCCTCAAAGTTTGCATACAAACATATACATATTATGGTTTCCAAAAATATGGAGAAAAGACCCACTATACCTTAAAAATATAATTTTATGACATAACTTTCGTATCTTTTAGAGAAATACTTGAAGTCTCTTAAGTCAATGGTCATATCACAAGCATGATTTAAACGCCATATTTCATCAGGGCTTGTGTAGTGTAATGGTTTGCGTGCTAGTCTCAATAGAAAATGCAACTCAGGATTTTTATTGCCAGGGTTCGAACCCAAAGGATACCACATTATTTTTTTATATAAAAGAATAAATTTTAACGAAAAATTTCATCCAATCTTTTTTGTTATCATGATTTCATAAAAATCAATTATGAGAACTTTACTCTAAATACTAAATCCACAATTTGAATATGATTTTAATATATCTGAACCTAGTGGGCTTTCTGCACGCTAAGTTCACCCATCTCCTTTAATATCAACTTTAGATTACGTTATATGTAGAAGCAGTGTGCTTTTTTTGACAACCAATCACATGAAGCACAAAGTATGAAAATTTACGAATTCCATACTTAATGAGGAAGCAGTTGTCTCTGGAGTCATGTCTGTTCATTTATTCATCGTGAGGGTGTTATTATTATACTAGTAAATAAATAATATATAAACTTCAGAATAGCATTTTTATCTTGAGTACGTTTACCAAAAAAAAAAAAACAAAACAAAAACAACAACAACAACATATATACACACTGTACTTGGTGAAACCTTCGAGCAACAGAGAATCTGCGTATGATATGTGATCAATAATGAAAAAAAAAATGTTTTGAAGCACCGCCTCTATTTCTTATCGAAGTAATTATGAATAAGAGAGAGTGAATTGGTCATTAACCAGAAAGGCTAGACTTATTTATATATCATATTAATGTATTCAATATTTCTGACTAAATTGATTTCCTGCATTAAGTGGTATTTTAATGAGCGGAAGGATTTGTAAAAGAGCCCTGGCATTCAAATTAGTGGATTTGTTTTAGTGTTTACACCAATATATATGAAAATGAATTATATTCTAATTATTTTAAACATGAACTTTGCTTTATTTGATTGATTCCCTAACAATTTTTTTCGTGAGAACAATCTACAGCTCTGCTCGCATGATGTGATTATTATACAATTTCAAAGGGACAGAGGGTGCATTCTAAGCATAGTAGTGTGTTTGTTTATCAACCCACAGTGAATATCATAACAACGTACAAATATTTCAAGGATGCAACTTAATGTGATCTTGTTGTGATCCCTGTCTGGGGAATTTGGCGGATATTGTCACAGTTGTTCACATTTTACTTACAGATAAATGTTATATTTCGTTTTCGTTCTTGATATAACAAAGACATGCTGAAATTTGGTTGGTAAGTAGATTGTTCTTAATCTTAAAGAAATGTAATATTAAGCAAATTGAATTTAAAATGAATATTGTGTTTCAAGGAGCACTGAGGTTTTATATTGAATACAAAAAATGGCGGCTGTACTATATGTATATGATAACACGATTGCATATTTGAATGCAGAAATAGCATGTTGTAAACTGTATTTATAATCAATGTTAAGGCTTTTTTTGCTTTATGAATACATTATACTTTAACAAATCCAAAATAAATAATTTCTGACGTTTGAAATAAATTATGGGATGAGGGAATATTACAGAAAGTATAGAATTACCAGGGAAGGATAATTTCAACGAGGTAAATTATTGACAAACAAATTGATGAAACAAGAATATAAGCAGTCTGTTTAAACTCATCACTTCGTAAGTTCCATGGTCGATACAATGACCTTACCAGCAAATACAATACATCACTGAGTCAAATGCTGACTGACTTTTTCATACTAATTGTTAATCCATTATTTATACACTGATTTGACATGAGTTTAGTATTAAATGAAATGTTTACATACCGTGTATGTAAAATGACATACCGGTATTCTTTCATAGGAACTATAATTGAATGCCTTTTAATTGTTAGGAGCTAATAAAGTCATCACGAAATGTGGGGTTTATTTCAGATGCAGAAAACATTCTTGTACACTACTATTCTTAAGACCCAAAAATTTCCAAATTTCCTGTCAATTGCAAAAAAAGTTTTGTTTCCTTAAAGTGTTCTCCTTTTAATTTTATTTTCCCCTGATATATTTTACATGTACTAATACACAGGGGCATAATAGATTGGATGTGGTGATGATATAATGCGTCTCTCTCTTATACCAGGCGCTCGATAGTTGCTCTAAACCAATTATGATTTCAAGAACTTATCATAAGTTTTCTATAGCTTTATCTTTGTAACTTTAGGGCGAGGTTGTCGATTTTCTAAGTGGAAATAACAATATTAATGCTTAATTTTTTAATAACAGTAAATAAACACCACTATAGTTATATTTAGAACTTAACCAAAATTTATGTGGGGCTTTTGGCTGTGCAATTGTGATTGTTTTGTCAATTAGTTGAAGAATCTAAACATCTAAACATTTTTGTTTCCCGGTGTAAAGACGAATAATGACCCCCATCGAATAATGACCCGAGGTCATTTTTCTTATTTGACCCCCGGTCATTAAAAAAAATATATATATATATAGGTGTCACCACCCTAAAAATTTGCAGAACCCACGTGAAGAAAAATGATCCCCGTAAGAAAAGTTTCCCTGTGGATTAAAGCTGAAATTTTTAGGGGGGAAAAAATTAGATAAAGACGCATATTGGCCAAAATGCTCACCTGAACTTATTTGGAATAAATTAATGATATGTTGATCTCATAACATACGATTATAGCTATATTTCAAGGTCAATGCAATGATTCAGAATGTAAAGGAGTAAAGATTTATCGAGCCTAAAGGGTTAGGTAAACATTGTTTTTCGATAGTGGAAATCATCGAACTGACAGAAAAAATCAGCAGTATCATACATTATTATATCATCCGCTTGAAAAGCGGGAAGGTATTTAGTGATCGGATTTCCGTCCGTCTGTTACGCTTTTTACTGTTATCCGCAACTCCTCTTAGGTTTAATGTAACAAGGATTACATTTGTGAAGTATGAGAGTACTAGTATCTACCGTTTAAAAGTTATAGCCAAAGTAAATTAAAAATTTGGCATTTTCGTGTAAAATGGGACAAACTCCAAGGTAAAGGTCAAAAGGTCAAATTTGGTGCCCAAAGTAAGGTCTTGTCACAAGGAATATGCACATATTGAATATGAAAGGCATAGCTACAATAAATGAAAAGTTATGGTCAAGGTTTTTGCGGAAAAACAGACCGAAATATACAGACAGACATATAGACGGACACGAAAAAACTATTTACCTTTTACTCTTCGGTTACAGGGACATAAAAAAAATGGTCTTCATTTAACTTTTCATATTATGATACAGTTTTGTACAGTATAAAGAAGACGTTACAAAAATGAAAATGTTTGTTCTGATTTTCATATTAAATTCTCTGAAAAATATACTCAGAACTGGGTAAAAGGGTGGAGTAAAACAAGAATTAAGAAATGTAATGAATACTGTGTGCTAAATCAAAAGGTTATGTCTACATGTATAGTTTTTGCATTAGAATGTGTATTTTACACTAGCTCATAGCTTTACAGAGCATGTTTTTTTTATAACCCCACCCCCTTACTATTTCGGAGGAAGTCGATTATCAACAAAAGCAGCAAAAAAAAACTTCCTTTATTTTTCTATAAGGAGGGACTAAAATATATATATAATCTACTATTCTACTAATTTTCAACTGTTACTTTGCCACAATACTTTCAAGTATACCCCCACCAACATTTAAAGTATGCTTTAATCAAGGCGAGGTAAATTATGATATGATAGAACTTGTGTGAAGGCTTAACTTTATTTCAATATTTTATCTAGAGCCTCTTTCAGTATTATTGAAAAGTATAGAGTTTTATTTATATTTTTGCTTTTCATTTATTTATTTTTTTGTTTTGATTTAACGTACTTTTTTTGGGGGGGGGGGGTAAAAATTTACTCCTCTTTCATTGTCAAATAGGATTTGCCAAACTTATACAAGCTAAAAGTTGAAATGAAGGAAAAATTAATTTTTGTTAGTGTTATTGGAACCTGATTGTTGCATGGTTTGATTTCTAAAAACCAGAAGTCTCTGTCGAGACTGTAGCTCTACTGGTATGTACTTATCAAAAACCATTGCACTATTTTATGTATCTTTGTGTAGTTCTACTTGTGTGCCAACTTATTTTGAAATCAAACTAGAACTGTAGAAGGAGTAGCGTTTTTAAGGAATTTCACAGAAAATTCTATTTTTAGTAACCATGGTAACACCGTTCATCGAAATCAGAAACCGATGCACTATTCTATGTATCTTAGGGTAGTCTACTTGTGTGCCAAGTTATACTGAAATCAGACCAAAACTGTAGAAGGAGTAGCGTTTTTAAAGAATTTCACAGAAAATTCTATTTTTAGTAACCATGGCAACATCGTTCATCGAAATTAAAAACCGATGCACTATTCTATGTATCTTAGTGTAGTCTACTTGTGTGCCAAGTTATATTGAAATCAGACCAAAACTGTAGAAGAAGTAGCGTTTTTAAGGAATTTCACAGAAAATTCCATTTTTAGTAACCATGGCAACATTGTTCATCGAAATTAAAAACCGATGCACTATTCTATGTATCTTAGTGTAGTCTACTTGTGTGCCAAGTTATATTGAAATCAAACTAGAACTGTAGAAGGAGTAGCGTTTTTAAGGAATTTCACAGAAAATTCCATTTATAGTAACCATGGCAACACCGTTCATCTAAATTAAAAACCAATGCACTATTCTATGTATCTTAGTGTAGCCTACTTGTGTGCCAAGTTATATTGAAATCAGACCAAAACTGCAGAAGGAGTAGCGTTTTAAAGGAATTTCACAGAAAATTCTATTTTTAGTAACCATGGCAACACCGTTCATCGAAATCAAAAACCGATGCACTATTCTATGTATCTTAGTGTAGTCTACTTGTGTGCCAAGTTATATTGAAATCAGACCAAAACTGTGGAAGGAGTAGCGTTTTAAAGGAATTTCACAGAAAATTCTATTTTTAGTAACCATGGCAACACAGTTCATCGAAATCAAAAACCGATGCACTATTCTATGTATCTTAGTGTAGTCTACTTGTGTGCCAAAGTATATTGAAATCAGACCAAAACTGTGGAAGGAGTAGCGTTTTAAAGGAATTTCACAGAAAATTCTATTTTTAGTAACCATGGCAACACCGTTCATTGAAATTAAAAACCCATGCACTATTCTATGTATCTTAGTGTAGTACTTGTGTGCCAAGTTATATTGAAATCAGACTAAAATTGTAGGAGGAGTAGCGTTTTGAAAAATTGTTTACAGACAGACGGACAACAGACGGACAGACAGACAGACAGACAGACAGACGGACGGACGCCGGACGCATTACTATCGCATAAGCTCTTCTGGTCTCTGACCAGTAGAGCTAACAAGTGGAATATCTTTCTTTAAGCAAATATTATAAGGAGGAATATTTTAAAAAGAAATTTTATTACTTGACAATTAAAGAATCTCTTTTCACTTTAAAGGGGGTCATTTTTCAATGGGGGTCAATTTTTTATAGGACTAACATATAAAATAATGACCCCTATGACATTTTTTCTACAAAAAATGATTTTTTTCTACGGGTAGGGGGTCATTTTTTGTCGTTGAAAATTGACCCCCGGTCATTATTCGATGGGGGTCATTATTCGTCTTTACACCGGCTATACAAGTTTGATGCCTAGTTTAATTTCATATTTTATAAAAAAAAAAATATAGGGCGACACGATGTTATAATATTCTACCATAATATTTATATCAAATAAGAAAAGTTTCCTGGTTACACTGAGATTTGTGTAGATAAATACATTAAGCAATAGCTGTAGAAGTGTTGATACTCCAGCAGCGTTCATTAAGTAGGGTTGCCTTTTCAAGAGGAGTAAAAAAAAACCTATCATCAAATACTTCAAACATCCCCATGAAGTATTTAAAACTTTATTTGTGAATCCATATGTCTTAAACAACTGTTTTTGTTGGATTTTAGTCAAAATTTTTATTAAAATTCAAATAGTAACAAAATCAATGAAAAAGAGTGTTTAAGAAGCAATAATGTTATCTTCTTAAAAACTACGATCGAGTGATCGAATTGGAAAAATGCCATATTTTTGTCAACACAAACTCCTAGCATCCTAACATGGCATATTTCTTGCAGTTGCTCGACGTGTTTAGCAAGATAACACCATCCTGTCTTCCTCAAATTCATAGCTTTATAAAACGAGAAATATACACAAAGAAAAGAACAATCAAGTTTTTCCATTTTACTCTTTACAACATTGATACTAAGACTC